CTTTTCTTCAAAGTGTTGTGTATAGATGTATGTTCAAAACTCAGATCTGGTGTCACAGAATTTAAGCACAGGAGACTACTACCATCCCTTTTCTGGAAAATTAATTTGTTTATTTTACCTCGTGCTTATAGTTCCTTTAATTTATTTCTCATTACACTCTATTTTATTTGCTTGCCTTACAAGGTTATCCTGAAATGGGATGCCATTTGAAATGCACTTAGCAGCTACAGGTTCACAATTGTTTTTCAATTACACTTGCAGTTATTTTAGTTCATTTCAGGAAATCATTTTAGATTAAATCAAGTTGATTTCATAAGTTTTAGAGATTTTTTAAAAAAATGTTTCTTTCCTATACGATTTTAATGGCCTTCTAATTATGTTTATTTTAGCATTTATAGTATTACTGTCATTTTCTGGGGTAAGAAAAAAGTCTACTGAAGGTGAAATGCAGTGTTCTATGCTCAGAAATTTACCATCAAAACCTCTTCATCAACTATTGATGATATCCTTCCTTTATTAATTTTCATATAGGGAATGTCATTAAGAGATTTTGCATTATATTAACTTTTAGTACATATTCACATTATGCCAGACTTTATTATTCCAGATAGAATTCTAAATGGTTCCTTTGTATTAATGTCTTGTTATTCATCTATTCATATAACTATTTTTTCCATTTTTTATATTTTTAACCTTAAAATGAATCTGCATTGTTTTATATATATATACACATAGTGCTTTTATATGTACTTGTATTTGAAAAAAGTAAATATATATAATATATAACATATTTATATTACATATAAACACATTAATTATCTGTAGTTCACTTTTCAAGTGGGTTACTGAAAATAACAATTAATACACTTTAAATTTATGATGCTACATTTTTGAGGCTTTATTACCTAAAGGTTTTGTTGACATGTCACATATTTAGTTTTCTGAACATTTCAAATGTATTTCCTAATATCCTGTATATACCAATTATTTAGAAAATATGGGCCTTCTTTGCTTCTTCCTCTCTGGAACTGTCATCCCCCAGATTAACTCTGACTGCAACACTTGTACCTAGTGGTAGGTCACAATGAACAACCCAGACAAATTCACTTGTTTTCTCCTACATGCAGTTATGGAATTTTGAGGCACTGAACTGAGCCGCATAGAAACTTGTACAACATTGTTTTATCTTACTTCTGCTAAACTCTTGAACACAGCCAGCTCTGCATAGCATATTCTTAAGAACTGCATTCTATTTCTCTTTACTCTTCATCCCATCTCACTGCACCAGCCACAAAGCACCCAAGATGTAAACAACAAAAATAAATCACTGCTTTCTTTCCCCAAACGTCTCTGTGGTCCGCTATGAATATTCCACCATGTTAATTAAGTGGTTTCTTTAATTAATCCTTAACTGTTCTCAGAATTTCTCCTTCCTAGTAGGACTGGTGATCAAGAAAATGGTAGAGGTTAGGGGGCAAATTTTACCTAGAGTCTTATGTAAGGGAGTCAAGTTCTAGGTCATGAAGGATACTAATTATTTCTGAAAAGTTCCTACAGTACTTTTTCTTCTAAATTTCTCCTCTTTCAGTATTAATATGACATATATGTTTCATTTAAGTATTCAATACCATGTGTAATCAAGAACTATCAAGAATAATTTTAATACCTTATAAACTATACCACACTAAATAATTTAATCTATGCATGCTTTAGTCTGTATGTTGTAACTACTAATTGGCTGTATATTTTCATATACACAAAGATAGAACACATGCCATCAGTGAGTCAAGAATAAAATATTTCTCTATTGCTGACTTTTGTCATTTCTAAAATTGAATACCTGGAAATATGAATGGTGCATTTCAGTTAAAATTTATACTGTTGATCAATATTCTATAAGAGGAATTCCAATCATAATAAAATGATGGCAGTCAACATGTTCTTAGGTTAAAAGAAAGGACAGGCATCTGGCATATATACTTGAGTGTATGTAGCTTATAACATATTTTAGATGATTTATATCCAATATAATTATATTATTGCCCTCTTCCTTTGTGTTTCAAAATTTTAAAACAAATCTTTTTGAAGAAAGAAAATGTTCAAACCTTTAAATCTGTTTTATTTATCTTACAGGATTTAATTCAATCACTGATGCCAATTTTTATAAAAAAGCTCTATAATACAGAGCTTTAGGAAATATATTTTATTTTATAATAAAATACAATATATATATATTAGATCCATATGATTCAGAATAAAGAATGAACATTAATCTTACAAAAACACAAATGTATCTCTACAATTTAAGTTATTGAAACAAAAGTTCAAGAAACAATACTGAACCTGTCTATCCAGAGTTTATCCTAATATATGACATCCAGTGCCATGACAATCCATTTCTGCTTTATTCTATTCTATTCTACTCCTTTATATAATGCTGAGAATAACATTAATTCTATTTTTCAACTTACTAATGGGTCACAACCAGCAGTTTAGAAAACCCTATCTTATTAAAATAAATATATTTGAATTACATGCATACATTACTTATTTAGGATGTTACTACATAGTGATATGAACACTTCCATTCATCAAGGATAGAACGCGAAGTCATGCCTAGAATATGACAGGAGTTACACAAGTCAAGTTCAATACCTTAAGTAATTTAAGATACTGGCAGATGCATTAGATCTACTACATAGTCATAATTCAGCTGTGAGCCAGTTGTCCAAGTTCAAATGTACTCAGCATTATAAATAATATTCTAGACCATTCATATATGATAAAAAACCTTGTACAACATGGGTCCTTTATCCTTTATAAACTGTCTTTTTCTCTGCTGTTCTTCCAGCCTATTCCATCTCACCCCAACTATCACAGAGCATTTCAGAAAATGTATGTTTTGCTCTTTGAAAAGATGACTGAAACTAATCTATAGCTTTAATTAGGCAGGTATTAATTCTCTTTCACTAGGACACAGTATTCAAAGATCACAACCATTAAGTGCAGGGTTTATTTCATAAGTAGATTTATAGTTTATCCTTGTTGAGTTGGAAGGACATGGTTTTCCCTGAAGGTGTTTAGAGCTTCTGACTCCTCTGATCATTGTGGATTCAGCCAGTATTGATTCATCTAGTTCATAGACATATCTATTTGCCTAGAATGATAGACTAAGTTTTGAATTGGCATTTCCACCATTAAAGGCATCATAAAGTGCTATTAAAAATGATGTTTTACATGAATATTGTTAAAATGGACAGAACTTGACAGCTTATGCACACTAATCATAAGTGCTCAATGACTATTTGTCAAATATAAATGGAATGTCATAAGTTTTGTCTTTTCTTCAATATCCATAATTGGAAACAATTAAAACTGTAGACATCTCTTTGCATTTGTTTCCATCATGCTTCTTTGGCAGCAGATTTTCAGTATGAATAATAAAGGTAGCTATTTATAAATGCTTTTCAACAGATAATGTTAACATGCATTTCAGAACAACAAATGGCTATATAAATAATAACAATTATTCGTAAATACAAAACAAAAATAAAGTCTCTTTACCTGCATATTTTCTAATTAAAAAAAATCAAATGTCAGAGTTAAATGTCTGTGTCTTCCTCATTTGCCTCGCTATTACTAAATTTTGTTTAGATATAATCCTAAATAGCTTTTAACTTGTGATTACAAGTTTTGAATTATGAGTTTTTTGTCCATGAGAACTTGCATGTATAGTTGTCTTTTTGCAGTAAATTTAGAAAGAATTGATCCCAATAGTCTACTTATGCCATGTTATCACTAATTACTCTGACACTTTAGAAAGTAATGTTTTGAGAATGAAATAACAACTGTGGAATATTCTTTTGATGATTTCTTCTTTTAATTTATTTTTTATTAACTGAATGTGCTTAAAATTGTACTTCAAAGTTAAGTATTAAATTTTCAATAGAGACTTTAAAATAGTAACATAGAATTCATTTTAAGAGAAAATAATTATATTCTGGTAATTGTGAACCAACCTTTTTTTTATGGCAGTGTGTAATAAAGGTATTTTGATTTTCCTAACCAGATAGAATTTTTAGTAATCTATGTATTACTAATAGTAGTATAAGTAGAAGATACTAAAGTGACGATTCTGCTATAATTAATATGCCCATAATACTAAAAGTCGATGGTATATATTATTCTGATAGAATGTCTTACTCCTGATAGAGAAAATAACTCACTTTCACATGCTAATGTTAAATAAATCTTAAATGAAGTCAGAGTTCTCCAGTTTTAAATGAAGATGTTTAAGATTATTTTTTTAAGAATAATTTTCAAAAAGCACACAAGTCATAGGTCACTTATTTTAGAACATGTCCACAAATTGAATGCAACTACTTAAAAAGTCCTCAGATGAAAAAGCAGAAAAACACCACTCCTAAAGCTCACATCATGCTTTCTTCCAGAACTATCCACAGTGCTTCTCAGCACCCTGCAAAGGATAACCACAATCTCCATTTCTGGCACTGAATGATAATTTTTATTCACTTCCTGAGATCTAATCTGTCTTCCAATGGAAACTATTGCTTTTAAAATGTGTTTAGGGCTTCCTGGTAGCACAGTGGTTAAGAATCCACCTGCCAATGCAGGGGGGCACAGTTCAAGCCCTGGTGTGGGAAGATCCCACATGCCGCAGAGCCCGTGCGCTACAACTACTGAGCCTGCTCTCTAGAGCCCGCAAGCCACAACTACTGAGCCCATGTACCACAACTACTGAAACCTGCACGCCTAGAGCCTGTGCTCTGCAAGAGAAGCCAATGCAATTAGAAGCCCGCACACCTCAACGAAGAGTAGCCTGCTCTCACCACAGCTAGAGAAAGCCCCTAAGAAGTAATGAAGACCCAATGAAGCCATAAGTAAATAAATAAATAAATGTATTTATTTTAAAAATAAATAAATAAATAAAATGTGTTTACACCTGTGCTTACAATTAAATGTTATTTTTCATTGACTAGGTCCAAAGTGGTACCCTTCTCGAGTGGGCCTGCAGCTAGAACGTGGTAAGAACCAATTTCACGAATCTATTTGTTTAATTTAGAGTCCCTTTGCTGTCTCAATAGATAATATTTATTTATCACTTACTAAATGGCAGGTATTGTAATAAATACTTTAAATATATTATCTCATTTGATCCTCCCAAAAAGGTAGTGTTCCCCTTTTATGGGCAAGGAATTTTAGTCTCACAGAAATAAATTTCACACATTCACTGTCAATGTGTATTGGAGACAGGATCTGAACTAACATCTGTATCAAAAGCTTTTACTGCTATATTCCTGCAATCTACTGCTTCCTGATATATTCTCAGGGATACAGCTTAGCTCTGTTTCCTTTTTTTTTTCTATTTAAAAACAGAATAAGGGAGGTAAGGAGGAACAGAATGAACGAATTATAGGGAAAAGTATTGTATCCATTAATAACCCTCAAGTATTTCAAAATTTCAAACCCTATTCTCCATTCAGAAAATTTATAAATATACACACTAAAGCGAATCCTGTTTAGAATCATTGTTTTTGACATTACATCAACTTGACCTTAAATTTGGACTTGTTAAATAAAAGCTGTGGGTAGAATGTAAATTTGGGGGGGCTACTCAGTTCAGGTCCATGATAGTAAGTCTACAAGAGGCATCTATTAAGGAATTTCAATATCTAACTTTTTCCATTCAATTGTGAACTGAATTTTATTTTTCTGCAGTTTTTGCTTTTCCTAATATTCAGGGTATCATTTCTTAGTTATCACATTCACTTAAGGACAAATGATGATTTTCTTGGATTTCTCTAAGATATTCTGTTTTCATTGTTATCTTAAATATTCCATCTTTCTGTGAGACATCTATGTTGAAAACATAGGAATCCACATCATTCTTAAAAGTCACACTTTCTTAAGGTCTTACACTTTTCCAAACTCAATTGTTCAAGACAAATTCCCATCTGGCTAGAGTTTAAAAGAGAATCATTGTCTTGTTTATTTTTGCCTCTGCAGGGCATAGTATGTGCCAGGCACATAAATACCTTTCAACACAAGGATACTGAAATAACATAAAATGAAATAGTGATTTTGTTTTCTGAACTTGACTCTTATATAAAGAGAAAACTGAGAATGCCACAGGTGTCAATGTCAAATGTAACTTCAATTTGAAGGACACTATATGGGACTGGGGGATATCTGTTACTTCACCCTTTCTGGTGAATGTGACTTTTTACTTTCCCCTCATTTATATACCTGGTTGAGTGTTCCAGGGTGTGATCTGAATAAAGTATAACCCTCCAAGTGTTCTTTGATAGGAATATGATGGCATATTTTAAAAAACAAATCAATGCATTTAGTAATACAAGCAGGACATGGTGCCAAGAAGAGGTTATTTGCAGTAATGCAGAATTTTAAACCTGACTCTTCTACTTATCTTTAGAGTCTTCTTTTATAAAGTAGAGCTAATAAAGAACCTAACATGTTTTTTTGTGTGGGGGGGGCGGGGGGTGGGAAGGTTTGTAAGTATTAAATAGGATTATGTTTATAAAATGCTATCATGATTTTACGTGGTAGATGCTTCATTGAACATAGTTGTAACTATTAATATTAAGGAAAAAGACTTAACACCAAAACAAAGCAAGGCATGAATATTTACATTATAGTTGCTGCCAGAATACATTTGACAGAATGATTGCACTATAAGTAATGACGCCATGTGAATTTAGAGTCCTTTACAGTTTCCTGACACAAAAGACTGCAAAAACACAAATAAAAGAGTAAGCAATTGATTTTTATGTGAAAAATAGCAAAGGTTTATTTAGCTCAGTGTTTCTGCTGAGCTGGGCTGGACTTGGCTTTGCTTGGCTAATCTCACTCAAATAGCTACAGTCAACTGGCGGATTGTTGAAGACTGACCTTTTTAAGATGGCCACGACTACAGTCACTCCTCTCTGCTCTATGCTTCATCAGAATATTCTGTGCTTGTTATCATGGTGGCATCAGAGGTGCAAATAAATGAGCACAAGCACTCAAGAATTCATGAGATTCAGGCTTAGAACTGGGATATGATCCCTTGTCCCACATTCTATTTGTCAAAGCAAGACACTAGGCTAGCTTATATTCAAGGGGTGGGAAAATAGACACCAACTCTTAATAGAAGGAACTAAAAGTCATATTGCAAATGGTGTTGTTATGGTAATGGTGAATAATTGCAGTCATTATTGCAATAAATCTGTCATATAAACTGGTAACTAAAATGTGCTCTCTCTTATTACTGCGATTAATATACTTCATAATGTCCTGGAAGTACAGTGTTGAATTTCTAATTCTTAGAACCATTAGATTTGTTCAATAGAAAGTTGAAGCATGGGTAGAGTTGGTCCCTCTCTTCCCATCCCTGTCTCCAACCATCCATACCCATTATAAAACAGCCTTGACAAACCCGTAAGGTTAGAAGTATACACCTTAGTGTCTGGCCCATTCTTGGGAGAAAATGCCCCCAAAAGATGTATTACTTGAGTTAATTCAGGCAGAAAATTCAGTGGTCTTAAATGGTCAAAGTATCATATAAATGGATGGGCTTCCATTAGGCATGGTCTCCTGGGCCCACATATTCCGCGGGGGTCGGGAGCAAGAGCAGGGTGCTGTGCATGCCCCCTGCACACAACACCACCTAAGAGGTGGGCAAAACACCTAAGCCACCCCTCTGGCCCTATCTCTGGACACACCCCTACCCTCACCCCATATAAGGAACAAGCACTCCCCTACCTCAGGGAGTGGGCAAGCAAGGAAATCTTCTGTTTGTTCTCTCTTCCCCTTGCTGTAGCAGGAGTCCCAATAAAACCTCACCTGAATTTCTTGTCTGGCCTCTGATCAATTTCTACTGATTAAGGAGGCCAGAACCCTAGTCTGTAAAACTAGTATCAATATATTGAAGCTCTGTATCCCTCTTTCTGACTCCTTCATGCAGATTTAAAGAATTTGTTATTAACTCAGGTCCACCTAGATGATCTCTTTTGAAGCCATATATCAAAACCTAATCAAGGAAGTGATAGCCTATTATATTCATGTTGTATTTATCAAAATTAATATATAACAATTTTATATTTTTATCTTACGTTAAAATACCTATAATTGTAAAACTATGCCTTGGATTTTGAAAATCATCTAATGATAGTCATAAATTAACATCTTACTCTTTCTTTCAATAATAGAGAATAAAATGAAACCTGTACATGACTGGAGATAAGATAAATCACAGATAGATTAACATAATCTATAATATAAATAAAAACAACAACAGCAACACTAATAGCATTATACTTGTGAGATACATCCGTGTTGGTACATATGGCTCTAATGTACTCATTTTTCTTTCTGTACAGTATACTGTACAGAATAAATTAAAAAATTAAAAAAAATTTAAAAAATAAATAAAACAAAATATAGTTATCCATATCTCATTTATGAACACAAGATTTTTTACAATGTTTCGCTATTACAAACAGGGCTAAAAAGGACATCTTTGTACATATTCTTCAGGACACACTTGCCAGACTCACCTAGTGTTTATTTTTAAGAACAGAACATTTCCCTTACACATCTTTTGACATGTTCTGTTTATTTTCCTCCTATTTAATGAGAAATTCCTTCTCAGTAATCTTTGAGGTATATATGTCTTCTTACTTCAAAAGCCTGGAGTGCTAGAAATCTCAGTCTTAGTTTCCATCTTTCCTTTTCAAACTGAATGCATAATCTCTTCATGCCCCATGGCTTTAACTTTTAATGACTTTTAAATAATCTACAGAGCTACCCAACTGCCTACTTGACAGCTCCCACTTGCAGGTCTAATAGATATCACACACTAAATACACCCTAACCGAAATTTTCATTTTCACCCCAAATCCTACTCTTTCCTCAATCTTCTTCATGACAGTTAATGAGATTACAATGCACGTAAGTGCTCAGGTCAAAAATATAAGCACTGCCTGTATCTCACTGAATCATTTTCTCTCAAGTTGAACCTGCGCTAAGTTCAAAATATGTCTGGGATTGATGAAATTTTAACATTTCCACCAGTGCTATGTTAATCCAAACAAACCTCATACCCTGATTGATGAATTTTGACTTCCTCCTAAGTAATCTTGCTCCCTTTCTTCCCAGTTACCACAGAGCACCCATAACCATCTTTTAAAAAGGTGAATCATGCCTATCCCCAGGTGCTTTGCAATGACTTTTAAAATCATTCTACTCCAAATAATTTATCTTATAATAAAATCATTTATAGAACTGTTGATATGTATATCTACTGACACACAAAATTATACTTTAAAAATACCTTGTATCATAGTTGATTATTATATCACCTAATATTACATTTTCTCAGAACACAATATGATAGTAGCTAGTGGTAGTCTGTACTTTGTTTAAATAGCATTGGGAAACCACTGTGTATTTGAAAATTTGCCAGGTATATTTTATAAAATGGGTTTATTCATGTTATCTTACTTTAAAGATTTACTGTAAATTGCAATTTCTATGTAAAATTCATCCTTAGCTTTCACTGGTTTCACATTAAAATTATTTATCATTATGCCTTGAAATTGTATTAAAATGATATTTCCTTGTCGTTTAAGGTGGGCCCTTTTTGAAGGACTACATAACCATTCAAAGTGTTGCATCTTCCTCCATTGTCACACTTTATTTTACAGACCTAGGTCAACAAGTCAGTTGGACTACAGTAAGTATCGATTTGAAATGCAATAAACATGTCCCACATTTTGACATAATTTGTTGACATAGAGGACATTTTCTGTCAAACAAATTCATAGCGAAACAAAATATTGCACTAAAGGTATTTTAAATTTTCCATTCTTACTATGACCAGTGGCCAAATTTCCATTCAAGAATTGGAGAAATGAAAATACATGGTTGAAAGGAGGATAAATCCCTTTTTAAATGTCAATCTATCTTATGACCGATGGCTTTCTGCTTTCCCTATGCTTTGTCAGTTACATAGTGTTTCTTCAACTTTTCCTTCTAAGAGCCTCGTGATAATGAAGACCCATTTGTTTGGAAAGAGTGGAGAGAGAATATTCAATAAAAAATGTTCCAAGGCAGTGGGGAGGACATTTTAAAGACTGAGAGTGAAGTAGTAAGACTTCTTTGTGTTGTGAGGGGTGGGGCATTCTTTTGACTTTCTTGAAGGAGGTGTTTTCAAAGTGGTGGCAACTGAATCCAGTAACATTAGAAGAATGAAGACCATATTAAAAAACAGGAGGACTAAGAAACATAAAATACTTGACACTACTTCACAAGTATTGACATATTCATGAGTAATGGAATAGATGGATGGAATATCTTCAGTAGAAAGAAGCTATGAAGCTATGTGATATTTAGTGACAGGCAGTTAAGGAGTTAATCTGAGAAATAATTTTGACCAGTGCAATCATTCTATTATTCAATTAAATTAAACCTATTTTTATATTGTTCAGATTTTTAAAGTTTTTTTCTGATTACCTTCTATTTCATATTTGTGATATGGTTACTTTTAATATTTTCTATTCAAAATGGCTTTCTTTTGCCAGCATAGTGCTTTGAGTTTTCCCTTTATAGTTAAACAATCAATTTTTAAAATTATTACAGACACATGATAATTTATACATTGTTATTTAATTCTCAAAAGGAGAAATTCCAGTTTACATTCATTAATCAAAATGTTGTCACATGCTTTACTTTTACAGCAATTTCTCCTTTAACATACATTATCTTCCTGTATTTAGATAATTATTTTAGTGTGTTTGGTTAAATGGTTCCTTTAGTTTCCAAGATTTTCTGAGCCTCTGAGTACTAATTTGTTGCACTAAAAACTGAGTTTATAGTATTCTGAATCCTTGTGAAGTATATCATAATGTTTACAAAACAACCTACTAATACATGCATCAAATAAGCAAAGGGCTTAATGTTTAAATGTGATATCTACAGACCTTTGCTAAAAGAGATCTTAGACTAGCAGATTTTGATTTTCAAAGGTTAAAATATTCACAGAGTCTTTGTCCACATTTATAATGAAAAGGGAATTCTGTCTACAGAAATAGTATCAGAGTGAGTGACAATAACTGTGAGTTCATAAGAAATTCCAGCTGCAGCATTTGGATAAGCACTGAGGAGAAAAAGTGCTAAGGTAGAATTCTATGACAATTGTACTAGAAAATTATAGCTTATTTGGGAAGAAAGTCATTTAGGTGACAAAGAGAACTCTGAAAATAGGCTGGATATTTTAAAATCAACCCTATGGTTCACACACTCTTTTGCTCCAAATGAGTCAGTCCTATTAAATGCTAAAAATATACACATTATATTGCAATCACACCCACTTTATATCAACCAAATTATACAATAAAAGCAATATTTTTACCACACATAACATTCCTGCACATTCATAAAATATTAAAATGTACTCCTATAATAAAAGCATTATCACAAGTATTCTTTTTTTGTGTGTGTGTGGTACGCGGGCCTCTCACTGCTGTGGCCTCTCCCGTTGCGGAGCACAGGCTCCGGACGCGCAGGCTCAGCGGCCATGGCTCACGGGCCCAGCCGCTCCGCGGCGTGTGGGATCTTCCCGGACCGGGGCAGGAACCCGTGTCCCTTGCATCGGCAGGCGGACTCTCAACCACTGCGCCACCAGGGAAGCCCTATCATAAGTATTCTTTTTGTGAGAAATAATCTCTTCAATTTAGCAAAGTCAAAATTAAGATTTTAATAATATTTTTCATGAAATAAGAGTTTGTTACAGAATATTGAGAAAATTCTTGCCTCATGGAACTTATTGGAAGACTTAGGAGAAAGGCTTATTATAATAATATAATAATCCCCATCACACAAATCCTATTAACTAAAGATCTTATTCAGTTTTCACCATTTTTATATTCATTCATGTGCGTATATAGTCCTATGCAATTTATCTCTTGCATAGATTCATGTTTTCACCACCAAAATCAGATACAGAATTATTCATTCCCACAAAGGAACTCCCTCATATTACCCCTCTGTATTCACACACTTTTTCCTATCCTGGGGCAACCACCAATCTGTTTTTCAACTCTATATTCTGTCATGTGGCAATTGCTATATAAACAGAATCAAATATTTTTTGATTGATGTTTATTTTTCTCTAAGCATAGTGCCCTTGGGATCCATCCTGCCTGTTGCATGTATATCAATACTTAGCTTCTTTTTATTGGTGAGTGGTACTCAGTTGTATGTATGTAACAGGGCTTGTTTAATTATTCACCCATTGACAGACATTTGACTAGCTGTCAGTATTTTGCTGTTACAAATAAAGCTACTACCTATTTGAGTGTAGGTGTTGGTATGAACATAGTTTTTTATTTCTCTGGGACCACTGTTGAGTTTTAAGAGTAACTTTTATATTCTACATACAAGTCCTTTGTCTGATACGTGGTTTGCAAATATTTTCTCTCAGTTTTAACTAGTCTTTTCACCCTCTTAACAGGACTTTTGTTGCTGTACAAAAAGTTTTCAATTTTAATGCAACCTAATTTAGTTATGTTTTCTTTTAAGGATCTTGCCTTCACTATCATATGTAAGAAACTTTTGCCTAGACTTAGGCCCAGGAGTTTTTCTTTTATGAGTTCTTCTAATGGTTTAATAGTTTAATATTTTACGTTTTAATCATAGTTTTCTATTATAAAGAATTATCTATTTTTTAATTGTCAAACAATGTTTATTTTTAATTTGCCTCATGTGTCCTATAATCTATTGTTGGCTTTTTTTTTTCTTACTCCATATGGATTAATTGTCATACTATCTTTTCTATTAGCCTCTCTGGTATTTTGGTAGTTATATCTTATTTTTCACTAACTCTAGTGATTAACCAAGAGATTATAATGTGTATCTTTAAAATATTAAATACTAATAAAAATTGTTTGTTTATTAATGTGAAAATACTTCACAGAGAGTTGAATACCTTTAAGGTATTTAGGCTCCTCCTGACTTTTCTATTACTGTGATATATTTTAATTATATACTTTAAAGTTAAAATCCACTACTGTAATATCACATGGCCAATCTTTATTTAAATTTATCCTTTTTACTGCAATTTCGTTTTTCCTTCTAATACTGAGCTTACATCTGGTATCATTATCCTTCTTCCTTAAAAACACTTTTAATGCTTTATTCTGGTTCTGTCTTTGATGAGTTCTCTCAATTATTGTTCATCTTAAAATGTATTTATTGAACTTATTTAACTTCTATTCTTAGAGAATATTTTTGCAGAAAAAAATACATGTTGGCAGTTATTTTTGTCTTTACTTCACAAAACTGCATTATTTTGACTTCTGACTCCCATTGTTTTTGTTGAAAAGTCTACTGTACTCCTTAAGTCTTTTCCCTGGCTTATTTAAAATTCTACTTTTGTTTGATTATCAGAAGTTTGATTATGGTGTACATAGCTATGATTGTGGTTTTATTTATCCTGCTTTGGGTTTATGTGTTATCTGAGTCTATGGTTTGATATATATTTAATTTGAAAAATTAGCATAATCTTGTCATGTTTTGATTCTCTGTTATTCTCTTTGTGTTCTCCTTCTGAGATTTATATTACGTTTTCATACTTTTCTTTTCAGAGTTTTCAAATATCTGCCTCAATTCTCAACCTTTTATTTTTCTTTGAACATTAAAAGATTGTTTTCTAAATCTAACTGATAATTCTGTTATGTGAATCTTTAGTTCTCCTGTTTTCAATGTCCTTCGGTTATGGTCACAATATCTTCACTCCTTGTATACCTTCATATTTCTGACTTAGTGTGGGAAAATTTATGTGAATAAATTTAAAGATAACTTGAGGCCTAGGATGATGTTATTGTCTTTCAAAGATAATCTATCATTCTGCAGATGGACTAATGGCACTATTGTGTACAGGTCATCTCATTCCAATCCATGATTAAAATGATTTCAGACTGAGCTTCAGTATCTATGAAGACAGATCTATTTCTGCCTCATCTTCACTCCTAAGTTGTAACTCTTCTAGATCCCAGCCCAAATCCTGGAGATTTTATAGAGCCACCTCTGTCTTTGAAAGATACCAAGCAATAATTTTTGTACTTCCATTCTCAAGCACCCTCAAAAGATTTGGTCTTTTTATCAGGCTGTTACCAAGCTTCATATCCCAGGTCAATCACTTCTCTGGAGCTCCACTTAAAACATCTTCACATTCTAATTCTTCAGTGACTCAGTAGCTCTTTGGAGCCTGAAAAACATTTCGATCAATTTTTCTTGCTGATCTCATTAGGATGGTTTGTTTGAATAACATGGGAATAGAATTCTCCATTATATGTTATGCATATAATAGTTATTTTTTCTTTTAAAAAAACCCTTCTAGTATCATATTACCTTCAATAGTATTCACTGAGTAAAAAGTGATATTACTACTGGGAAATGTTTTTGTAATTTTACTTAGTAGCTCTCCTATCTTTGGAAAATTAAGGTTGGCACTACTTTATTTTTGTCAGCAATTTCCAACAACTGTGAAATGTGCAATTTATTTTGCTTTTGACTGTCAATTGCTATTTTAGAAAATAAGTAAAGCCAACACCACCCTAATAATGACAGGACTAAAAAAAATATAAGGGAGAATGAAATACATTAAGTGCAGTCTAAGTACAAGGGTCTTAATCAGTTCACAACAATTGCAGCTGAATGTTTCAATTTATATTCTCTAAACAGCTTATTGCCTTCTTCCTTTTCAATTTAGATATATACCAATTTGAATATTCCACAGAAGCTCCAAAAATCCCAATTACATAGCTTGCCTAGTAGAAATAATGGATTTTACATTTAAAGCAACACCTAAGTTTAAAACAGAGAACTTTCTATAAGGAGATGCATGAAAACTTGATGTCAGAAATAAATTGGAATTTAAAAGTAGTATATATCTTCAAAGTAAAAAGAAAGTGCATCTGCTTATTTTGAATATAGAATCTCTATTAAACTTTTAGATTATGGAATTCCCAGTCTTTGTAAATTCACCTGCTTTGCTTAGGCTGTATACCTGTAAATACATATGTTTGTATGTTTACTTTGGCTTTAGTCTTGTTTTTACTCTTTTTTGGTAGAAGAAGAGCAATTCCTTTTTCAGAAGTCTGTTTTATTAATATTTCTCTACATGGCTCTTGTTTTTCTTTACTCTAAATCTATTTTCTGATTACTTCCTAAATATAATCAAACATCTCTATTCCTTCTATCTGCACCCAAATAGACATTTTGCTTGAAAGATGCATTGTCTAAAAGTTATTTCTTATTATCCTCCAGTTCTTTCCGGTCCGGATGTATCCTTCATACTTCGGTACTCTTTTAACCCCCATGTTTCAGCATGAACAATATTTGTGATAAAATGCTGGGTCTTCTAGAACGTATTATTGTAAGCTAGCAGGCTCCCCTGATTTTTTTAGGAGATGATGGAGACAAGATTGTAGTTTAATTTTCTCTGATCCAAAAAAGTTTCATATTTGTGATAACATTTTTACTAACTTAATAAAGAGTGACATTTGGTCAGGTTAACTATTGTTTACAATATTTTTCATTTCTGACATATTACAATAGAACTTGCTCAAAATTGACTTGACTAGGTCAGAGGCACTGAAATAGATATTTTAAACTTTTTGTTGTAATAAAACAATCACTATCCTAATTATTCTAGAGTATTATTAATAGATTATATTATCAGATATTCAAAAGTGGTAAACAGGGCTTCCCTGGTGGTGCAGTGGTTAAGAGTCCGCCTGCCGATGCAGGGGACACGGGTTCGTGCCCCGGTCCGGGGAGATCCCACATGTCGCGGAGCGGCTAGGCCCGTGAGCCATGGCTGCTGAGCCTGCGTGTCCGGAGCCTGTGCTCCGCAATGGGAGAGGCCACAACAGTGAGAGGCCCGCATACCAAAAAAAAAAAAAAAAGTGATAAACATTTTTATTTCATATCTGAATAATCAGGAATGTTGTATGCCATAAATAAATATAGTCTCTTCTCTCAGTAAAAATGTTGCTTTAATACTGAATTTATCGGATGTCGCACTGTTCTTACCCTCACATAGACGTCTTTCTTGCCTCATGAGATAATAAATATCATTTAGAAAAAGTATAACTGAAGAAACCTGCATGTATAAATAGCTATTTATACGTATGTATATATACATATATATGTAATTATATATGTATGTGCATATATTTTAACCATGTAGCTATACAAAATTCTCACCAGAGATAAGAGCATAATTAATAATCAATGTGAACACCTGTATTTTTGAGTAAAATATGTACAACTTCAAGTTTCCTACCTTAGAAAAATGATAAAAATTGGCAAAGACAAAGCAAAGTAGTAATGGCAGTCGAATTAATCATTGTCATATTTGTATTCTTTCTCTTCTCTTTGAACACCCATAGAGGAAATTATTTTTGCTTTTTTGCCTGAAATTTTCAGAATGTGACTTTAACCTGGTTTTAGCATCAAAACAAAACCAAATAATTGACAGTCACCAGATTCAGAAAACTATTAGAAAACAAGTCAATTATCTTTCTGCAATCACAAGGTCTCATTTTCAATTATCTTTCCAATTTTTATGATTATGTCTCTGTAGATTGGTTATCTCTCTCCACATACATGGTTGCCACTTAGCTCCAGAATTCAGAAGTCAATCTTATAAAACTACTCACTCAGACTCATTAGAATTAATCTAAAATTTCCAAAAATGAGAAGTAAATTATTTCAATCTGAATAAGTGTCAAATCAATTGAGTTCAAAATGACATGGCCATAAAAAGATTAAAAGAAAGAAAGAGAAACTATTTCCCATTCCATTCAATGACAAAGACAGTTAACACAGAAGATTCATTTGTATGGGGCTGGAGAGACATGAGAAATGCATTTATGATTGTTTGATTAAATAAAAATTCCAGTGTACTATTTATGAAGAAATCATTATGTTCGATATTTTTAATTAAATTAACCATTTATGATTGTCCTTTTCCTTAACACTTGGTTAATTCTTCCAAGGAAGACTTCTTGCTATTTGTGATAGCACTTAATTTAGTTCTTTTTCAAGAATAGATGCTCACATGTCCATTTCACCAATTTACGTAGCAGGCTAAGTCTGTGGACATGCTTATTATGGTCCTAAGTAAATCTTAATCATATCTATAAAATGCACTGTTTAATCTAAATCACCTTCTTTTTTTAGGTATTTTTGGCTGAATACACAGGACCTCTGCTAATATATCTCCTCTTTTATTTGAGGATCCCATATATATATGACATGAAAGAGAGCTCTAGAAGATTACGTCACCCAGTGGTACAGTAAGTAATACATATACATGGAACATATAGATTAAGGAGGAGACAAACTAGTACACAGACATTATGCTAATAAATATTTTTTGTAAACACAATTATTGTGGATTCAATTTTAGGGTAATATATTTTAGATAACAAGAAGTAATGTATGCATGCCAACTTTTAAGTTTATAAACAGGAACTATTACTTAATATACTTAATACTTTAAGTATACCTTAAAGCAGAGGTAATTTCAGTTAATTATGATCACAATCAACAAGAGAAAAGCTTAATATTACAAAGTTGAGAGGCCATATATAGGACTCAAAATATTAATACTTCTCTAAAAACATGGGCAACATTGCATAGAAAAGAAATAATGACTGAACTAATAAACTGGAAGAAAAAGGTTTTAAAATTACAAAATTAAATTTTACTTTTAACCAGGACAGTTATCAAAGCAGAATATATAACTATAGTTCTTCACATATTGTGGAAATAGTCTCCCTCTCTCTCTCTCTCTTCATATCAAATAACAAATTAAAGAGAAAGAATAATCATTCAAGATGCTACATTGACATGTAGAGTTAGAAATTTGTTAAAAAAAAAAAAAAGGAACCTGGGCAAATGACTAAACTCTAAGTGAATTAAGAAGCAAAATTCAGGTCATAAGGATGCTAGAAGACAGAGAATAATTTGACTCCTGGATTTCTCATCTCAGATTTGTCTTTCCTTCACTCTTAATTCTGTACTCCAGCCACAGTTACCACCCTTGTCGTGATACCTACCATGCCCTTACACACCATCCCTCTTCCTCCATTGCCTCCCTCTTCTTTATTTTTTTCAAACTTCAAATAGAGCTCAATATTACTTAGTATTATCCATTCCTATTCCTTCAATGAGAAATACGTTACTAAAATGTTTTTCCTTTATACAGTTTATTACTTTAAAATTATATATTTACATAGTCATTTGTGTCTTTCCCTCTATAGAGTTTAATTTCTATAATGGGTGTCTTTTGGTGCTCAGTCAATTTTGCTGCTTAACACATTACCTGATTTATAAAAAATACTCAATAGTAATGTTCTGTATGAATAAATACATGAACCAGTTACATGAAAATTTATTTTATATTAGGCACTTTTAGAGTATAAAAGCAGAGGAACCTGATATGGATGTGAGTTCTGAAATGGGCTTTTCTATGAAAGTTATGTTTGAACATTTTTCTTTGTTTTCTGAAGGGACGTGTCAGATTTTAACTAGTAAATCTGAGGAATCTTCATATGGAAATTATCTGTGGTACATAGCAGTTTGATGCTTTGTAGGAGCAGACAGAAAGCTAGGAGAGTAGAGGCACAGAGAAGCAAGGGGAGATTGGATCTCAGGGATCATAGTCAGGTCAGTATCTGGCAAGTTGCTCAGGGCCTTTTGGAATGTTAAAGTCTACCTTTCTTTTTCTTAAGTTAAGAGAATGCCCAATTCATTTAGAAAGTCTGGAATGGAGTGTTCATAGGAGAATGTAATTGCCCTCATTTTTTAGATCAAACATATAATGTGTACCAGATATATATCACAGCATGAAAAAAGAAAACGTTTTTTTTCCCCAGCAGCATTCTCAAAGGAATTGACCGACAGTTTGTTATTATTCTTAAACACAAACACAGCATGTTTTATAACTTCTCAATGATAAATGTATCTGTTCCACATTCTTCCTAAGGAGCAAATATGTGAAGTTTATATTAAATCATTCAGAGGAGATACACACAAACACACAAACTACTTTTGAAATTTGAGTGTCTAGTAGAGGTCAGGTCATCCCTCATATACCACACTCCATCTAAAAAGACTCTAAAATCTTCTATTTGTTGCCTTTCCTGAGCCCTTCTCAACTCCTGGAATCCTTCCACTGTGCCCTCTGCAATTCAAAGTCCACTGTTAGCAAATTTCTTATATTGTCAACCTTTTATCTGAGCATTGCCTTCATATTCTTCCTCAACAGAAACCTGGTACACTGCCTCCCTTGCAGCTCTATAAAGTGTCTTCTTTCACAGTCCTCATACCTTGAAACTTACTTGATGAAACATAAGATATTTTCAAATATTACATTTGGGAAAAAGAGACCCAAGCCTATTTATGGATGTTCAATTAGTTTAGCACTGGAAAGAAAAAGAGTTGAGTTTGAAGGGAAGTCAACCATAATTAAATAGAATATTTTGGAATGAAATCAAACTTGGTAAGTGCAAAGTCCAATAATGTGCAAAGTGGTATATATCCAGATATTAAGTCATAGCTAGCTGCTATGCTAATATCTATGCCCTAATGCTGTAATATAAATTAAATATGTGAACTAATTTAATCATAGTTTAAATTAAAATTTCTCATTCAGTGCTCTGCTACATTGCTGGGCATTAGATAATTTTTCTGCTTTCTTACAAAATGGAAAATTCTACTACTCAAGTATTTATATAAATATTCTTCAAAAGAACCAAGAAGTAAGAGAGATGCTGATTCTCTTACCAGTCCTTTGAACCCACATGCAACCTCCTATATCAGGATGTTTGTTTTTGCTTCTCTTACTGTCTAGAAATCTCTGTCCCCAAATATCTACACTTTGTTTTCTCACTTCTTTCAGAATTTGTCTATTGTTCTTAGATATACACATCACACAGAACATGTCTCTCCCATAATAGGTGCACAATTATATTTTTATGAATTAATGAATAATGATATATTCCCTAATGATTTAACCAGGTTGGTTTGTTTTTGATTATTTCTTTTCCCTAAAGTCATTCTTATTAATACCAGAAATCATTAATTCATTGTGTTTAATATAAACTTACAGTGTAGACTCAATGTTTGATTTTACATATTGTAAATGAAATGCTTATTTTTATGCTTAACCTTTATACATTTAAGTATATAATCTTTGATCCTTATTGATTTTCTTGAAAAACAATTATAGTTTTTGAAGTTTTACAGGTTTATTTATAATAAAATAGATGCATATTTTAATAGAAATATATTTTAAATATACACAAGAATACATGCTTCTATAAATCATATTTGACATTTACTTTTTAAATATTAGTTATATAAATGACAAGAAGAGGTGATATGTTAGAATAGCAACAAAAACAAAGCAACACAAAATACTGCAATATGTTAGGCAGTCAAAGACCAAACATAAACAAAACAAAAGCTGCATTGACTCCATAGGAAAGGAAATTCCAACTTTTTCAGTCTATGGTACTTGCTAAAGGACAATCAGACAATGAAAAAAGTATTTTGGATATTATAAAATGTCAAATGCATTGTAAGTATGTTTTGAATACTTTTAAAGTTGTAAATTTTCTGCTTCAGTCTTAAGGCATTTTGAAATGAGCATATTTACAATTATTATATTTATATCTATATTCCTTGGGCAGATGTAAACATACAGTTAATGACTATTATTATGAAATATCTTGAGAGTCATCAGAAGTAAATTTATAGAAACTGTTGTTACAGTACTTTTATTATTAAATAAATTTAGAAATTTTCTAGAATAAAATAAAAATATCAAAAAAACTTGTGTTTTGGTTACCAGAAACAATATTTCCTGATAAATAGAAAGTTGTAGCATACAAATGAACCTATTTACAAAACAGAAATAAAGTCACAGATGAGAAAACAAACTTATGATTACCAAGGGGGAAAAGTTGGGGAAGGATAAATTGAAAGATTGGCATTGACATATACACACTACTATGTATAAAATAGATAACTAATAAGAACCTACTGTATAGCACAGGGAACTCTATTCAATACTCTGTAATGATCTATATGGGAAAAGAATCTAAAAAACAGTGAATATATGTATATGTATAACTGATTCACTTTGCTATACAGCAGAAACTAACACAACATTGTAAATCAACTATACTCCAGTAAAAATTAATTTTAAAAAAGATGTAACTTCAAAAATAAGAAAAAGGGACTTCCCTGGTGGCCCAATGGTTAAGACTTTGCCTTCCAATGTAAGGGATGTGGGTTCAATCCCTGGTCAGGGAGCTGAGATTCCCACATGTCTCGAGGCCAAAAAACCAAAACATAAAGCAGAAGCAATATTGTAACAAAGTCAATAAAGACTTTAAAAATGGTCCACATAAAAAAATAATAAAAAAAGAAAAAGAAAGTTGTAGTAAACTAAAAAAAAAAAAAAAAAATTAAAATATCTTATATATAAGGTGACCCAGATTTTTGTAAGGGAATTTAATGTGTTTGTGTTTTATTTTCTTTCTAGCTTGGCCTGCTTCTGTCATTGTATACACTATATCCGATACCTTTTGGAAACCTTATTTGTTCACAAGGTTTCTGCAGGACATACACCTTTGAAAAATTTGATAAAGGTGGGAACTGATATGTTTTGTAATTTTAATTGTTATTGAGAAATTTTATGTATTGGATCATCTACATCATCATTAAATCATGTTTATTTCTCTCAAGCTTAGATTTTTCTATTCAGCTTTATCAGCATATCTTAAACATTCCGCTCCTGAAATGCCATTTCCTGAGCGATCTAGTTCATTGGAGCTGCTCTCAACCAATAACATTACATAAAATATTTGGCATGACCTTACGTTCCAAGTTACATACTTTTAGGCACCTTTAATTTTGGAAATACTTAGCACTGAATTCAGATTAAGTGCCACTTGAAGAGGAAGAATCTCATATATAAACCCTCTTATAAATATATATTTGTGTGATTAAAATGATGATGCTACACCCTATATTTGTGATTGGTGTCAGTGTAATGACAATATCTTTGCTCTTCCCCAAAATGGTAAATACAAACGTTATTAACCATCAATTAACTATCAAGAAAATGGGAAATGTTCTGGAACATTGAAATAGAAATGTACATGAGATAACATGGTGCAATTCAGTTTTCCAATTCAAATTAAAATTTATTTTAATTTTTTTTCCAATTTAAAATTTAGTTTCAGAATGAATTATTTCTTTACTAAAATATTCCTGAATTTTAGCAAATATCTGTTTTCTTAGAATTTCAACAAGCAGACATTCTATTGTTGTCATTATAATGAAACAGTAAACTCTAGAACTTTTACACACCTCAAAAAATCATTTAGACTAGCTTCTCTTTTGAGAGAAGTTATTAAAATTCGTCATGTAAGATCAGCATCATAGCCTAGTACACCTAAAACGAGGCCATTTCCCTCTATAATCAATCACAAAACATTATTAGTAATGATTAAATAATTCATTCTTTTATTCATTTACTGTTGGAAAATAGCTGTTTATTATTTTTATTACTTCACTCCTATATACTACTTGATAGACAAAAGCTATTCTTGAAAATCTTCATAAAATACATTGTTACATTTCACTATATCCTAAATCCTCATTTATATTAACAAGTGTTGAGCAAAGAAATGCATTTTCTTAGTGATATCAAATAGGTACTTTTAAAATGCTACTTTACTGAATGAAGAAACATTCCATTTAACTAGCTTAGAAAATTTATAACATTTTTTATACCAAAATGCTGCAGTGTGGCATATAAATGTATGGGGTGACTTCAAATGATGTGATATATATATTATATATATATATATATATAATATATATATATTCCCTAACTTTTATTTTGTTTTATTTGTAGAGTTGTGCCTTTTATTGGGGATTCACTTCTTGGATTGCCTACTACATTAATCACCCACGGTATACACCACCATGTATGTAGAATTTATTCTTCTATACCCATACTAAATTCCCAACATCAAAACTCTGTTCTAAACTACATAGAGATGATGAACGACATGGCACATATAGAGGAATAAGAAAATAACGTCAATTTTAAATTGCTTTCATAATACTCCATTAAGTATTTATGTAGGCTTAAAAGACCAAATTTGACTGACATGTTTTGATTTATTTTCTTTCCATAGAAACTCTAGCAAAAAATGTAAGTTGATTATAAACCTTCAAAATGACAGACAGTAAAATGAAAGAGTAAAGATGAAAAAGAAGCATGCCATATAATCACATAATCATGTACAACCATCAGGATTTTTAAAAATAATTAAATTATTCTTTTAAATATAACTTCAAAAGAAAAAAATAGAGGCTTTTTTTCCTGTGACATATTGTTCCCTATTTATAACTTTATTAAATGTCTTGTCCCTTGACTCAGATGAAGCAATTTAGTGAACTGCACACTGGAACCAAATCTAAATCCTAAGTTCCTAATCTTGGGGGAAACATACCTGTCCTGATCAAAGAATTACATTTCTTTTATCTTCTGTGGACCTTTCTCTTCTCAGCTTTTACTGCAGCTCACAAGGCACACACAGCAGAGCCCTATTGTTATGTGTTGACATTTCATATTTAACTGAGAGGTTTTTGTTTTTGTTTTTGTTTTTTTTTTGTGGTACGCGGGCTTCTCACTGTTGCGGCCTCTCCCGTTGTGGAGCACAGGCTCCGGACGCGCAGACCCAGAGGCCATGGCCCACGGGCCTAGCCGCTCTGCAGCATGTGGGATCTTCCCGGACTGGGGCACGAACCCGTGTCCCCTACATTGGCAGGCGGACTCTCAACCACTGTGCCACCAGGGAAGCCCCTGAGAGTTATTTTTTGTGGTCTATTTCTAGTTTATAAAGTTTGAAAATAAATGGATATAAATGATGTATTCAAGCTTTATTTTAGATTTTATAAAATAACATAAATCTTAAAGACATTAAAATAAATTAGTATCTTTTCTTGAAGCACTGACACAGAGAATTACATTATTCAGGGTTTTTGCCAAAATCAGCAAATCTAGTTCAGCAATCACAGTAAATGATTGCAATGTTCAGAACTTTAACTCTTCTAAATACTAACAAATTAACTATGAATATTGAAGGAGAAAAGTCCCTGATCTCACAAAACTCTAACTGATTTTTAAAAATATTTTAACAGAAGATGTACCTTCTAAGTTTAGAACATGAACAGAAAAATTTTTTAAAAGATATTTTTTATCCATAGTATGTTTAAAAAGAGGAGCCTCTGAAAAATGCTACATTCATATATCTGATACAAAATAATAGAGGTTAACTGTGTTCATATATGCAAAATATTTATGGAACACACTGTTTGTCAAGAACTGTAAAATTGCTATTTCTTTTGTAATTAGAAACAATATTATTATGTAGGTGTTAATATTCCCCACTATATATTAGGAAAATAAGGCTCTGAAAGTTTAATTTTACTGTGCTTAAGACTCTTAAATGAATATGATGTAAGTAGGACTCAAATAACATGAAAATACATAGAGCATTACAATACCTATTCCAAGTGGAGGGTGAGTATCATGTACACGCACTGCATGCTTTGCATGGTTCTGATATGCATGGATTTCAGTTTTTATGGTTTTTTAAAATAATACCAGCCCCTAAAACCATGCTTCAAATTCAGTTACCACATACGTTAATTGTAATTTCACAAAGTACAAACTTTGCAGCTAGCTCTTTAGTCCACATATCACTCTATAAATAATGGATGCACATCATGGTCAGTGACATCTGATGGTGGTTGATAACTGCACATCTCTTATTCAGTTCACTCACAACCAGCAAATAACTGGAACAATTGTGGAGTCTGGGAAGTCCAAGATCAAGGTGCTGGCAGATTGGGTTCCCTGGTGGGGACTCTCTTCCTGACTTGCAGATTGCTCCCTTCTCACTGTGTGCTCACGTGGTGGAGAGAGAGAAAGCAAGCTCTCTGGCATCTCTTCTATTAAGGACACTAATTCCCATCAAAAGGGCCCTAACCTCATGACCTCATCTAACCTTAATTACTTCCCAAAAGCTCCATCTCCAAACACCATTATATTGAAGGTTGTGGTTTCAACATCTAAATGTTGAGAGGCACCATTCAGTCTATAGCAATAGTGGTGAGGGGCCTAGGATAATTAGCCCACATTACAGGCAAATAATGGGATCTAAGTTGTCATGTGATTATGACATTTGTTAGGTTTTATTTTTTCCTTAGAATTTCACTTTTCTGCATAAATGCTACAAAAAGTTCGATCCTTGCATTCATTATCTCTGCCTAAGATTTTTAAAGATTGTTCTTCCCCTTTTATAACTCTTTGATTAGAATTTATAGATTAAAATTTTTGATTATATATTAGATTGTAAAAATCCAATGCTGTTCCTTCAAAGTAGAGCTAGTACAAACTACACTATCTTTATTTTTTAATTAATTTTATTGAAGTATAGTTGATTTACAATGTTGTGTTAGTTTCTGCTGTGCAGCAAAGTGGATCAGTTATACATATACCTGTATCCACATTTTTTTAGACTCTATTCCCTTATAGGTCATTACAGAGTATTGAGTAGAATTCTCTGTGCTATACAGTATGTTCTTAATACTTACGTACTTTATATATAGTAGTGTATATATGTCAATCCCAATTTCCCAACTTATCCCTCCCCACATTCCCCCTAGGTAACCATAAGTATGTTTTCTACATCTGTGACTCTATTTCTGTTTTGTAAATAGGCTTATATGTGGAATCCAAAAAAAAGAAGAAAACGGTACAAACTACATTATCTTTAGATGAGATGAACTAAACCTGAAAACATAGATAAGTACAAAAAATTTTTAAACAAAAATTTTAAAACTAGATGCTTAAAAACCTATTCCTAAATAACTATTGAATCTAAAAGTAAAAATACATTAAAGACAATGACAAAGTGACAAAAGAGTAAACAGTACATATCAGAGCTTTTTTATCCAAGTAGTTATAACCTTATTAAATAATCATATTTAAGGAAAATGAAACAAACATACTAATTAAACAAGTTAAAAATTCCTTTATATTAAAACACTGTACTCAAATTATATGCTGCATTAAGTTCAGGTACTTAAGAGTTGTAGAACAGTTGAGCCAATTTTTAAATTATTTCCCTTGAAAATTTTCTTTAAAACCTGAATGCTTACAATGTAATCTTCCTTCATTTCATCCTCACAATTAGAAGAAACAGTGATTGTATTTTTTATGCGTGTTTAATTTTTTCATCATATTTTTCTGTGCTTTCACTTTGTATATGTTCTTTTGACTTACATACTCAATTGTTTAATTCAGGATATTTTGTCCTTACTACAGATATGATAATTAATTTTCCGTTATTTTTATGTTGTCATAATTTACATTGTGCTTTGCCCTTTACATCAACTGGGTTTTTTTTTCACCTCTTTCTGTATTCTCTGCACTAACAGTTTCACATTTTTTATAGCCCTATTCTCAACAGATCTGACTGCACAAAATAAATAGCATTTGCACATTTACACACACAAAGTACTTAAATGAAAAACAACATATTGGTATGTATTTCCAACGCATATACCATTAGGGAGGTCACTTTACATACTTGAACAATATTTAAAATAAATAAGAAAAATATATTATCATAATTGGACTGCCTAATGGCAGGAATATTCCATTAAACATAAACTGGAATGAATATGTTCAGGAAGTTTAATACAAAAATATTTAGTATCAAAAACAGTCAAGGATAAATGACCTATATTTTTGCCTATCTAAATGTGAAATATTATACAAATTATAAAAACATTATAGAAAGTTTTAATGGTGTCTAACATTTTTTCTAGAAAGTTTATTTCAAATTATATTATCTGTAACTTTTTTTGGAAATAAATATAAAAATACTTTAAAATTACACTCTTTGGCCCAGTACCTTTTTACCACATCATTATTTTTTCTCACAAAAAAATGGAAACAAGGCATATCTTCACAGTCTTGATGCAGGAAATGTTCTGAACCCTCTCATCCCTGTGTTAATATCTATTCACTTTTTTAGATAAAAGTTCAGTCATGTACTCAAAGTTCTCCCTGATCTCCCTGATTACAACAAATCTTTCTTTTTAGCTCTTATATTAAATATTGCATAGATCCTTCTCAGTAACACATTAAAGTTGCATGCTTTCATTTGTTAGCGTGTGATGAGCATTTGTTTCCTTGTCAGAAAATAATTTCTATTAAGATAAGGGTTGCATTTGTGTTTATTTATAATTAATTTATCCACAGTCACACAGCCTGCCATATAAATTTCTAAAAACTAGTGTTGAATTAGTGAAGTTTAGTCTAGTAGTAGATACAAATTTTTAAAAATTATGCTCTATAGGGATGAATACCAACTAATTATTATGATTTAGCTAGAGAAAAATGTTTAATTATATGGCAAAATGTGTATAACATAATATTAAGGGACTAAGTGATTATAAAATAATTCTATCAAATATGGTAAAAGTATATAACAAATATGTATATTTCCAAAGGGAAAAATCCGAATATTAACTGGTTTTCCATTGATGAATTTTATTTTCCCTTTACACTTTTATGTCTTTCAGAAATGTCTCCATTAATATATTTTATTTTATAATAATATATATGTACTTTATAAAAAAAAACTTCCAATACATGTACATGTTTTACATATATCCATGCATAAATACTTATATAAAATTTAAGTATATTACCCTCTTAAGTTTCTAGCCCATGGAAATAGAACTTAAATAAAAGATTTATATGGAAAGATATTTGAAACAGTACTGTCTATTATTTATAAAATTAAAGTAATTCTAATTATGCAGCAATGGGATAATATTTAATGTTTTAAGACTAGCCACATTATACATTGTGATGTAGTTTCTATCATACCTGTGACCACAAATATTTAATAATATCGTAAAAGTCTTTAAATATATTCTTACGTAAAAAACCTGATTCAAAATGAGTAATTACATTAATTTTTATTTGTAGATGTGTTTATATAAATAAATGCAATTTACATAAAACTAGAAGAAATGCAACTGTTAATACAGATAATGAGCTTATTAGATAATTTTAGTTTTCATTATTTTTGTATATTCCAAATTCTCCTCTATAAACAAGATGAATTTAGAACTCTGTTTCAAATTCCATTTTGTTCATTACTCTTTGTATGATTTGGAAAGTTATATAAAGTATAATTTTTTACTGTAAGGTGAGAACAATAATATTGCTTCATGTGTTTGTTTTTATGGTGAAAATATACAAAACACTTAAAATATTGCCTGTTGCAAAACATCAATGCAAAAATAAAAATTACTATTATTAGCATTTTTCTTTTTATTGTTGAACATTTAAAAAGAAGAGATATTATTGAGTGCAATTACACACTAGGTCATACTAATATGCTTTTAAAATGACAAACAAGGTAAATTAAATCTGCTTTCAAATAGTTTAATAATAAAAATTATAAATAGACTCCATTTATATTCTAAATATCATTAGGTCACTAGAAGATAAGTATACATAGAAAGCAAAATATTGTCATCTCTTTAGATTGCAAAAGTATCATTCCAAAAGGTCAGATAGTACATATCACATAGTACTGTTTATTAGAGTGTAGTGATATCCAATAAACCTTTCCTGAATTATATCTATAGTTTGCCAATCCAAAAAATGAGTGTTTACATAACATCTTCTTCTGCTTTCTAGCATTTGGAAACAGGCAAGTCACAGTATCTGCTATCAATTTTCTGGTATGTATTATTTATATAATTTGCTATTCATGCTCTAGTTGTGACATTATTAAGCATTCAAACAGATTGCATTTAAGGATTTGTCATGTAGAAAATATGATTTGTTTTTATATTATATGCATAATGGCATTAAATTAAATAAATCAAATAACTTCCCATAATCAAGTCCTTAGCTCTCTAAATCTTTTCATCAAAATGTTCTACTCATCTATAAAGGATGATTAGAATTATTTGAAATATAGTAAAATTTGGGGGGAAAATTAAACTCAGTAATTCTTCCAATTGTCTGCACATTTACCAACTTACAAACTGCTAAGAGCAGAAAGTTTTACAAGTCTACCTGATGATTATGCAGAAAACTTTGGCGTAATTATTAAGTAATTCTGAATGAAAACAAAGTCTACTTTTGTGAATGAAACAGGGCTCTATACTAATTGTCCTCAGTCCAGTTCTTTAGATCATTCTATTTAACTTCACATATGCATTGTCTGAATCTGATACAAATCAATCTGACTACAAAATATTCTCTATTATTTCTGAAATGCATTATTTTATTAGATATATATTTAGCTCCACGTGCCATATAACTCCATGATTTCATTCTTTAGTCGTGTTTTCCCTCATTCTTGCCCTTGATAGATTAACTCTCATTATTCCTGTCCCTGATACATTGATAAACACCCATGACTCACGTACATGACAAGATCCTTTGTGAAGTTTATATTGAACAACTTATACCCCACCATTTCATACAAGGAACAGATTATACACTACACTTTGTAAAAAGCTCTCATATGAATCTCTATGTGTATGTGTGTGTAAATACACATAGATATATATGTATATAGAATTAATAATTTAGTTAATAACATCCACTACTGTGTTGGCTGTGAGAGGGGCAGGTTATGCTTTTATCTTTTTAGCACCTAGTATTGTACAAGTGTACTCACCACTTGCTTGAATAAATTACAAATTATTTTATTTAGAATTTTAAAGCAAATAGTTTGTAAATATATCACTGCCTTTTACTTTTCCATGTGTGCATATTGTTTATAGTCAGCAATCTTGCAATTCATTTATTTTGATGCCTTCATTGTTAACCTATGTTGAACCAAGTCTAATGTTCTCTGTGTATTAACTACTCAGTAAATGTGAGCAAATGGAAGAATTGATGAGTGAACAAAATAATAACCACACACTTGCTATTTATTCAGATATGTATTTAGATTAATATCTGATTGTTTTATTTTTCCTCCTTAAGATATCTCCTACTTTTTTTTGCAACTCATTTACTGTCATTTATTTCATTGTAAATATTTACACAGCTCCCATTTTATATAATATTCTTGATTTCTTCCCTTTTCTCAAATGTGATATGGTTATAAATCCATGGCTCTGGTGTGAAAGAAAAATTTTAACTTTTTAAAACACTATATGTCATAATAGTTATCATATTTTTCTTAAAAAGTGAAAAGAGACATAATTGGAAATAATCAAAATTCTAATAGTTTGCTATGTACATTTTCCCCTAAAGACTTTTTAAAAATCTGCCTTTTTTATTAACATACTAGTTCTTCCTCCTCATACATGCCTTTATTAGTCAGTGCTATTTTATACATTATCCACTGGAAAACATTTATTAAATAATAACAAGAAGAATTAGGCAAATAGGAAAACTTTATCACAGTTTCTGTCTTATAGGAGCCAAGGCACCAAACTACACAAATACCAATTAATAGTAGCATAGACTATGTCCAATACAGACGTACTAGGTAAATGTAAGAACTTTAATTCCACATTTCAAAGCAACATAAGTTCCACTGTGACTCTGTTAAAATTGTAAATTGTGATGACAAATTTCAAAGGCCTTCTAGCATAACCCTCCCAGACTTCAGACAAGACTACAAAGCTACAGTAATCAAAACAGCATGGTACTGGCACAAAAACATATAGATCAATGGAACAGAACAGAGAACCCAGAAATAAGCTCCCACACCTACAGTCAATTAATCTTCGACAAAGGCGGCAAGAATGTATAACAGAGAAAAGAAAGTCTCTTTGGCAACTGGTGTTGAGAAAGCTGGACAGCGTCATGTAAATCATTGTAGTTAGAACACTCCCTCACACCACACACAAAAATAAACTCAAAATGGCTTTAAGACTTAAATATAAAACATGACACCATAAGACTCCTAAAAGAGAACATAGGCAAAAGATTCTCTGACATAATTCGTAGCAAAGTTTTCTTAGGTCAGTCTCCAAAGGCAGTATAAATAAAAGCAAGAATGAACAAATAGGACCTAATCAAACTTATAGGCTTTTGCACAGCGAAGGAAACTATAAACAAATGAAGAGACAACCTATATACTGGGAGAAAATATTTGCAAACAATGCAACAGAAAAGGGCTTAATTTCCAAGATATACAAACAGCTCATACAACTCAATAACAACAACAACAACAAAATCAAAAAACAACCCAATCAAAAAATGGGCAGAAGACCTAAATAGACATTTCTCCAAAGAAGACATACAGATGGCCAAAAAGCACATGAAAAGATGCTCAACATTGCTAATTATTAAAGAAACACAAATGAAAACTACAATTATGTATCACTTCACGCCATTCAGAATGACAATCATTAAAAAGTCTACAAATAACAAATGTTGGAGAGGGTGTGGAGAAAAGGGAACCCTCCTACACTGTTGGTAGGAATGTAAATTAGTGCAGCCACTAGGGAAAACAGTATGGAGGTTCCTTAAAAACCTAAAAATAGAGGTACCATATGATCCAACAATGCCACTCCTGGGCATGTATCTGGAGAAAACTCTAATTCGAAAAGATACCTGCACCCAATGTTCACAGTGGCACTATTTACAATAGCTAAGACATGGAAGCAACCTAAGTGTCTATTGACAGATGAATGGATAACAAAGATGTGGTATATATAATGGAATATCACTCAGTCATTAAAAATAAAATAGTGCCATTTGCAGCAACATGGATGGACCTAGAGATTATCATACTAAGTGAAGTAAGTTAAACAGAGAAAGGCAAATATCATATGATATCACTTTTATGTGGAATCTAAAATATGATACAAAACGGAAACAGACTCACAGACATAGAAAACAAACTTATGGTTACAAAAGGGGAGAGTGGGGTGGGGGAAGGGATAAATTAGGAGCTTGGGATTGGCAGATGCAAGCTACTGTGTACAAAATAGATAAACTACAAGGCCCTAATGTATAACATGGGGAAATATATTCAATATCTTGTAATAAACTATAATGGAAAAAAATAAAAATAAGTAAATAAAATAAAAAAGCCTGCTAATCCTGGAACTGCTTAATGTAGGCAAGACACATTGAACTTTTACTAATAAAATATGACAGTAAGATATACATTTTAGGAAATTGATTCTAATACAGAATATAACAATTAGTGAGTTTATTGAGCTTGTATATAATCACCTAAATTGAAGATTCCTACCATATTATTATGAGCATAACACCCTATAGTTCAAGGTTAAATTTTTCATTCATAAAAACTGAAAACATATGTGTGAGTTTCAGGTTTATCACAAATACATATGTGTAAACAGTTTAGAAAAAATAAGCAAACTGTTTTTAAGTCTAATCTATTTTAAATTATTTTATATTAAAATTACCAGTATATAGTAGAATCAATTATATAAAAGAAACAAAGGGGAAATTCGTGGGTCAGTCTTGTATAATATAAAATTCAACCAGAAAATGTGTATCCTATTTGCAAGTGCTAATGTTTTTGCTAATAAAATGTTATGTTTGCAAAACTTCATGTTCTTCATTTATTGATCTATACACTCTTTCAACACAGAAGAAGAAAAGTATTATTCATTAAAGTTGGTTTAGCTTCTGTAGTTATGTAGAGCCAGATTTCCACTTGGTAAGAAGATAATATGTTAGAACTGTGTTGAATATGATTACAGTTAATTCTTAATTATTAATGGATGAATCATCCCTTTTGCAGACTAACCATTAACAATTATAACTTTTTCTTCTACTCCCTCCATTTTCTTTCTACTAATATTCTGAGTTCCCTAATACACTAAACAAAATATGTCAAGCAAAACAAGACACTTCACAATGTGTACATAATATATTCCAAAATTAGGTAATGATTCTTTGTGGAAAATCTGATTTTGCTGAGTTTTGACATGTGTAAACTATGTTCTAAGAAGTATTTTATCACCCCTCCTTTTGTATAAATTCTTTTTGACTTGCAACACAATTTACTTCCCTTGAATATATTCTGGTATCACAAAATCTACAAGGAAAAAATCAAATATGGAAAATCAGTTATATGCAACTCTATAAGCACTTTAGAATATCTCTCTACAAAACTTTTAGATGTAATTTTGATTTTTCTGCTGCAAATATTGTTGAGACACACTATAATCCAGGCTCTTCATATTTCTATGATCCCCCTAATTATCCTCTGAACCCAACTTCACCTACAAAACACCAAAATTACCATTGCAAAACAATATATATTTTACATAAATAATAATCCTGTTTCCTTTATCCACTCTTTCTTTCAACTTTATTTTTGCTCTCCAGAAGCAATTGATTGTCAATTCTTTATACATTGAGCATTACATCAGAAAAGAATTTTTTTTCTTGCTTTTCTTACTCTCTTCAATAATGTACAAAATGGGAGGAATAGATAATAATGCATAAGACATGGTTTGAAAAGTGGTGACATTAATTTTTCTCCGTGGTTTTACCTCTGTGTCCTCATTCTCACAATTAGTTATTCACTCATTTAGGTTGAGTTTGTTTTCTCATTATTAAAATGCAAATACTCTTGGAGAAATAATAAATTAGGCTCTTATCAAGAAGTCACACCTGCTCTTGTAGCATTTAGCTGAAAAGGACATTGTACATAGCACAATGATTTTTGATTAGGGGAGAGGATTCTGGGAATGATATATCATAGCTTTTAATAAGCATGGAGGAGAGTGGGGCCCTGCTGTGGAAACCACAGAAAGGCTAGTGAAGTGCTTGTGAGTATTTAGTATTTGTGGATGAGATGAATGAGGGGAAAAAAAGATGTGCCACAGTTAAATATTTTCAGCAATTTGCTCAGATTTGGTCATGACAATTTTTTTCTGATCCTCTGCCAACTCTTGAGAGATACGAATAAAATGATTTACATTTACTCCTTACTGCAGACTTAAAATCTAGGACTCTGTTTTCTCATCATTTTCGCTTCTTCTCAAAGCCCCTGAAATATCTGACATAAATAATAACATAAATAGGAATCAACATTTATACCTAAATTTGAACTCACTTCTTCTTAAATAAATTATTTAGAAAACTAGTTTTAAGAAATTAATGATATAAAATTAATACATATTATATTTTGCTATTTCATTATAATTTGTTATAATTATTGTTGTTTTTCAGCTAAAACTGACTTACTCCTAATTATAGTAGTGATTTAAAATAAAATCAGCAGTTACTATAACCATAAAAATTATCATCTTGATATATAATTATCAAAATATATAATTATAAATTATATATAAATATATAATATCAAAGCTAATGTAAAAGAATCCCCAAAATAATGACAAGTGTTTTAACAATAATTAACTACATAGTATATATTTATTTAAAAAAATAATATTTATTAAAAATATTCTACTCTATTGTGCTATTCTTATACTATATTGTTATGCTATATGTGCACACTTTTTTGTTATACAATATTTCATGAAAGCTCTATGGATTAAAACAATTCAGATATCCCCAAAATTGTGGTAATGAGATGGATCAGAGAAATAAAATATTTTTAAACATTAAATCAATTCCAAAATCAGACTTCGAGTTGCAATTTATGAGTGAAAATATCCTCTCCTATAGCAAAGTTTAGACAATAAACTATTAGTCTCATGAAAAAAATAAATTACTAAAAGAACTAGTAAAATTTATCATTCATATCATACAATAATATAAATATGATGTCTGAAATTTTTAAAAAAATCTTTCAGTTTTTCATTTTCAAAAGTATATTGGTTAAAGCAAAGAAAATACAATGGAGCAAAGACAGTCATAAGTGGTGCTGAAATGACTAGACATTCACATGTCAAAAAGAAAAAGTCTAGGCCTAGAACTTACACTCAACACAAAAATTGACTCAAAATGAATCACAGACCTAAATGTGAAACACAAAACTGTAACATACTTAGAAGATAACATAGGAGAAAACCTGGATGAATTTGGGTATAGCAATGACTTTTTAGATACAACACCAAAACACAATCCATGAAAGCAATAAGTGGTAAGCTAATTTATTAAAATGTAACACTGCTATGCAAAGACAATGTCAAGAGAATGAGAAGACAAGCATAGACTGGGAAAATAATTTGCAAAAGACACATCTGATGAAATACTGTTATCCAAAATATTAAAAAAAAAAACTCTTAAAACTCAACAGTAAGACAAACAACTTGATTAAAAGATTGACCAAGACCTTAACCAATATTTCACAAATGAAGATATACAGATGGCAAATAAGCATATGAAAAGATGCTCCACATCATCTGTCATCAGGGAAATGCAAATTAAGACAACAACATGATACCACTATACACCTATAGAATAGCCAAAATCCAAAACACTGATAACACCAAATGCTGGTGAGGATGTGGAACAATGAGAACTATCATTCACCACTGATGCAAATGGCACTGCCATTTTAAAAAGACTGACATTTCTTACAAAACTAAACTTACTCTTACCATGTGATCCAGCAATCATGCTCCTTAGTGTTACCCAGAGGAGTTGAAAACGTATGTCTATACAAAGCCTTGCACAGGGATGTTTACAGCAGCTTTATTCATAATTGGCAAAATTTGGAAGCAGTAAAGATATACTTCAGTAGATGAATGGATAAATAAACTGTGGTATATCCAGACAATGGGATAGTATTCAGTGTTAAAAAAAAAAAAATGAGCTATCAATCCATGAAAAATATATGGAGGAACGTTAAATGTATATTTAAACCAATCTAAAAAGCTTATATACTGTATGATTCCAACTCTATGATATTCTGGAATAGCCAAAGCTCTGGTGACAGTAAAAAAAAAGTGGTTTCTAGAAGTTGGGGGAGAAGGATGAACAAGAGGAGTACAGAGGATTTTTAGGGCAGTGACAATACTCTGTATGATACCATAATGATAGATAAATGTCATACATTTGTCCAAACATAGAATGTATAACACCAAGCAAACTGTAATGTAAACTGTGCACATCGGTTGATAATGATGTGTCAATGTAGGTTCATCAAATGTAACAAATGTACCAGTCTGATGGTGGGTGTTGATAATGAAGGAGGTTATGCATGTATTGGCAGGGAGTCTGTAAATCTCTGTAACTTCTCCTCAATTTTGCTGTGTACTGCACACTGCTCTAAAAAAATTGTCTTAACGAAAAAAAATCATAGGTTGGTATTCATGTACTTTCTGTTAAACCAATAATTAATATATTGAATATATTTCTTCTGAAACACATATATATTATCCTTTTTAATAAATGGAATAAAAAAATGGAATCACATATAAGTGGGTTTCATAATAAAAGAGTAGAGATTAGGAATTAGAATAAAGTTCTATAATTTTATGATCATAATAATATAAATTATCATAAGTTATGACTTAATGAATGCTGAGACAGTATATTGGCTTATATTATCAAACAGTATTTCAGTGTATGTGATATACCTTATCCCTTAAAGTAGAAACTAACTCCAAAAAGAAAAAAAAAGAGAAATTAACTTCCCAAGATCAGAGGAGTTGATATATTTTACAGGTGAAACTTTTTGTAATTATGTATTTAGCCTAGATTTTCCTTATTTTTGAAATGTTTATTAAGGTAAAATAAATATAACAAAGTTATAATTATTGTTATTATCATTATTATAGAGAAAAAATAGCCGAAACTCAAGCTTAAGAGTGTTAGAAACATTTTAGCAGATTCTGTTTCATATAAATTAGTAAAATGATTATCACATTGCTTAAATGATAAAGTTATAAGATATTAGAACTGCCAATAATTAATAACAATGCATATAAAAATGTAGGGATAACATATGCAGAAAAAAGATAGATTATGGTCATCCTCTAAAAATATTATGAGATCACAGAATAAAGGTTACTTGTTTTTGCTGTGGAAACTAAAAGTATTTTAGTTTGATAAAATGACAGCCTGACTACTTGATTCATGGCTACAAATTCTATATTAGGGCAGTTGTCTGCTGTTGTTTGTTTTTCTTCTTCTTACAGTTAGAGTAATAGTATATTTTTGGATCTTTAGAATCAATACATTACATGGATATTTGTATATCTAAAAATGTATTTTTAAAAAAGACAAGTATATCACACGAAAAGGTTGAAATGTTTTGCAGATTTGTGAAGCTGGAAATCATTTCATCAATGTAGTGTTGGCTCATCCCAATCACACAGGTTAGTCACTTTTTTTAATCTCCTCTAGAGGGAATTACGCTAATTGTTATTTTTTAAAGCAATAGTTGGAAACATTTAAGATTAGTATTCCCCAATTATTGCTCTTTTATGCCTAAGTTTTCAAAATATTTGAACTATATTATATTCCCTAATTATGGTTTCTCTAAAGTGAAGTGTGCATGTACAAACACAAACACACACACACACACAATCTCTCTCTCTCTCTCTTATTTAAATATATGAAGAAACAAACAAGATTAAGAAATAAAGAAGTATGAAATCCTTTGATGAATATCCACATTTCTTAGGTTAACTTTCAATTCTTAATCTAATTTGCACAGTATGTTACAATCCCACTGTATTTCAAATGGCTTCTTAAACTTTTTCTTATAAAAGTGAATTTTCTCTGACAAATTCAATGGCAGTGAAATAGCAATGTTTGGGAGAACATTTTGAATTTACTGGTTTGCCAAAAGATTTGAAAAAATTTACAGTGTCTATATAATTTAAAGGTATTTTTGGTAAATCAATACTCTCATTCAGGTTAAATTATAGGTAGGGATTCACAATGGCTTACTGTACATTGTACATAATTTAACTGTAATTTCCCATAGCAGTGGTCAACATTTGGATTTCATGTTTTTATCAGTCTAGTTGCAAATATAAAGTTGTGTCTGTCTCTTCAAGTTTGTTTTAACTTGAATCTACCTGAATTTCTTAACATTTTCTTGTCTTGAACAGTTCTGGCAGGCTGGGGAAATATATGACACACTTTCCAGAATATTTTTTTCTATAATACATAAAATTACAAAAGAAATTTATTATATTAGAATATTTGTGAACACATAAAAGCTGTAATATAATATATAACATAAATGTTTTGATTCCTACATTACATAACACTTTGATCAGTACCATATTGATGACCATAAATTATATATATGGAAATCTAAAACAACTGTAATATTATTTGAAAATATCTCTGCCTGAAAAAAATTAACAGAATAATGTAAATAGTATTATGTTTTTCTGTCTGCATTTGTATTGAATTAAATCTTGCATTTTATTTAGAGGTTAAATGCCATTTTTATCTAATCCAAATTCATAGATCTACTGATTTCTCTTTGGAAGTATGTGAAGCCCAGATGAAAAACTTCTGATTGTCTGATTTTTTTAAGTATAGAAGCAGAACCCAACACAATTTTATAAAAATGCTAACATTGCCAAATTTATGAATATCACACCTTTTAGTCTTGACCCTGACTCTCTAACAATGTGACTTTGCTCAAGTTTCTTCATCTATCTGGTATATGCAGTCATTACTTAAAAATGAAAATTTTAAATCATCATGTTTTCAAAGTCAAACTTTGGAAATGTTTATGTGAGAAAGACTTTTCTATCTGTGTGTGTATGCTTTTACTCCACCCTTTACCTTGCTTTGTATGTTGCTCTTGCCAAGTCAGAAGCCAATCTAATCTTCCCTCCTTGACTAATTGGCTTGGTCTTTTGCCTCTAGACTCAGAATACTTTTCCTTTATCACTGAAGTCTATTAATTTTGTACAGAGTTTTGCAGGATGTGTCTTAGATTTGATAATTCCAGATCAATTTTCCCAGAGACATGATGTAATCTTCTAGTAGTTTGACTCATGTCTTTGTTTTAATTCTATAAAGTTTTCTTGTATTATAGTTGAAAATTTGGTTTGTTACATTGTGGCCTGTGAGGAGAGGGTGGGGTTACATTACACGCATGTTACATCTGCCTCTATTTTATATATCTATCACTTTCTGTTTTTAACTTTTTAGATTTTTTTTCACTGTTTTTGTTCATCTACTTAATATCCCCTATTCTAGTGAACATTCTACCCTTAGGCAAACTGAAAATATGTACCATATTAGTAATGTGATTTTTTCCTACAATTTAATTCTTGAGAAGAATCAACTATTTTTTTGTTCCTGTTTTGTCCATACCTATTTTGAGTTCTGGGATTTCTTAACAGTTATGTTCTTTGTTATCTGCAAATGCTTCTATGCATTAAAATTTTTCTCTGTTTTAATTTTTGGGGGAGTTATTTTTATCAGTTGGAAAAAATTCTGGCTTTTGTTTTTATTCATATAGAAGCCTTATGTGAATATTGATCAACTTATGGTCATTTTAAGAGTGTAGATTGTGCCTGAAGAGAAATAACAAGTGTTTTTACAGATGGGGTGATTGAAGTGAAGTCTCTAAAGAATAAAGTGTGCTCTGGAGGGGATGGGGTGTTTCATTGTGTCTTTTGATCCTCTATACACTCCTTTGTTTTCTAAATTCCTTAATTCCCAGAAATACTACCTTCTTTCCCTTCCCCTCTAAGCCTTCAAAGTATTTTCTCCTTTCTTAGAAGCAGTGCCTTCTAATATGAAAACCTCTGGACTCACTACTCTCAAATCATTTCATTTCAGTTCTCTGTATCTAGTGTCCTGATAACCTCAGGTCTCAGACGTTTTCTCAGAGTAAACCCTCTTCTTCTGATCATGAATTCTTGATATCTGCATACACAGTGCACTCTTTTTCCTTACATAAAATCCTTATCCAACTCTCATTTCCTGTGTCACCTCTAAATGAGTCTCTGTTGCTCTTGGATTTTTATTTCCCCACTTACATATTAATTCAAGTTTGTAGTAATATCTGTACCTTAGATATGCTTTAGGCATGAATTATGGAATGGGGGACCATTTTATATTGACTGTTTAAGCAAGATGTCACAAAATGTGTTCCCCAGAAAACACAATTTGATATAGAACACATTTTTAAAATGCTTATTACAAAGTACTGAAAAAAAGGGAAGAATTGTGCCTAGTAGGAAACTGAGTTGTGATGTCTGAAGGGTGGCCTCAGTCATTTCTCTAGGGTTATGTGAAACTAGGAGAACCCTTCTGAGTTACCCTAAGTTGGAATGACTAGAGAAAAGGTAGGTTGGATTTGGGGCTCCCTGGAAATGGGGAAATTATCTAGGATAAGGCAGTTCTCTTTTGTCAAGTTCATCCTTTCAGAGGGTGTAATAGGTGAAAGCTTTCTGTTACCAGCAGAAATTTAAAAGAGACATATTAGTGGGAAATTACACAGCCTTCACTGCTGCACATGGTCTTGGTCTAACAACTGATTTGTACAATTTTCCTCCTCCACAAACTTCTAGATTCCCTTCACCCTCAACTGACACATTTAACATCTCAGGGATTATCTGTGGTATGACATGGACCCTCACTTGAGAGTCCTTATCAGGACATGGACATGGCCCCTGTCCATGGGTCAAGGGAATACCAGAGATGTCCAAATACTAGAGGCAAAATACACTCTTCTTACTCCACTGTATAACAGCAGGTTTACCTCCTTTTCATGATAGGATCAATTACTCTGCCAAGAGTAGTGATTCATTCCCCACAACACTGGGGTCTTCAGGTTTTAAGATCCTTGTTTCCAAGTGGAGAATTTTCTGTCATGGGACATGGGTTGATTCCCATTCAATTATAAACCTTATCTTACAGATTTAAAGGTGTACTTTGCCCCTAAGTCAGCATTTCAACTGTGCCTTCAACAGATTAGCAAATTAATCCATCAGGTTGGCAACTTTTTTTTTTTTCGGTACGCGGGCCTCTCACTGTTGTGGCCTCTCCCATTGCGGAGCACAGGCTCCGGACGCGCAGGCTCAGCGGCCATGGCTCACGGGCCCAGCCACTCCGTGGCATGTGGGATCTTCCCAGACAGGGGCACGAACCCGTGTCCCCTGCATCGGCAGGCAGACTCCCAACCACTGCGCCACCAGGGAAGAGGTTGGCAACTTTTTGATGATGCTGTATTTGATATGAGAAATTGTTCCTTTGGTTATGGGCCTACTTCTGTACCTCCTCTTTGAAAAATGGATTTCTTAAAGTAACAGTGTATTGTGGATGGACCTAGGGTCTGTCATACAGAGTGAAGTAAGTCAGAAAGAGAAAAACAAATACCATATGCTAACACATATACATGGAATCTTAAAAAAAATGGTTATGAAGAACCTAGGGACAGGACAGGAATAAACACTCAGACATAATGAATGGGCTTGAGGACACAGGGAGGGGGAAGGGTAAGTTGGGACGAAGTGAGAAAGTGGCATGGACATATATATACTACCAAATGTAAAATAGATAGCTAGTGGGAAGCAGCGCATAGCACAGGGAGATCAGCTTGGTGCTTTGTGACCACCTAGAGGGGTGGGATAGGGAGGGTGGGAGGGAGATGCAAGAGGGTGGGAATACGGGGATATATGTATATGTATAGCTGATTCACTTTGTTATAAAGCAGAAACTAACACACCATTGTAAAGCAATTATACTCCAATAAAGATGTTAAAACAAACAAACAAACAAATAGTGTATTGTGGAAGAGATGTGTTAATTGATTAAATACTGTGTAAATCCTCAGATAATAGGACTGACTCAGGACCTAAAGGAAGGAAAAGGAAATCCATTCACAGAGTATGTGTCTTTTCCTGCAAATATTAATTGCTGCCTCTTTAAAAATAGAAGGTGTTCAACAAATCACCTTGCCATCAGGTTACTAGATCATATCTGTGCAGAATGGTGCCTTGTTACAGTCTAACTGGTGTTCTTTATTGGTGACAGTTTGGACACTTGGTAGTGGCAGTAGTTATATCTGCCCTGGTAAGTGGGAACTCATGCTATTGAGGCCAAGTATAGTTTCCATCCCTGCCACCATACTCCATTCATGCACCCATACTAGCAATAAGTAATCCATTACAGAAACAGGCTGACAGTGACTGGCTAAGTCAAATTTTCTACCTGTTTGTCTCTTCCATCATTGATGCTCCCTTTGGGGCATTAACATGTGGTACACATATCTTCATATTTCATGGCCACTCATATTCATGGGCAGTCTTGCAATCCTTACTAGTTTGTCCATTTGACACTGCCTGTTATTTTATGTATAATGTAGGTTGGATATATTTTGTTCAACTACAGAGACTATGCCCACTGGGAGAATTTACCCCTCACTACTGTCTTTTAGGGTGTGACCCCTAAATGTGACTCTATTGTAGCTGCTGTGCATTTTGGCTTCCTCCCACATGCCAGCCAACTCATCCCTGAACTAAGCTCAAGGCCTTCCTCCTTTTCAGCTGGCCTGAAAGGATACCTAACGTTTTCATGCATGTGAGTTAGGAGACATTTTGGCTCAACAGTGGTGTGTGACATGTCTGGATGCCTGGTAATGCAGCTTGTTTGTGTCCTATTGCCTATTTTCAGTTTCATTCTGAATGTATCACTTCTATCTTAAAATGAATTATTACTAGTCTTACCTAACCTTATGACTTGGTACATCTAACAGCACTCAGCTTATAGTGCTCAGTTAGGACCACATGGTCACTTGGTGTCCCTAGAGTAGAGTCTTAATTATACCAGGATTCAATAGCATTCCAGGACTATCTTGTCAAAGAGATATAATTCTGTGCTACAAAGCCATGGCCTGCTCCAGAATACCAAGGTTCAGGATTGTGATTATTCCATTGGGGCTAACCATAAGTTCTACATATTAAGTTTTTCCACCACTGATAAATTTAATATGTAGAGTCTACCTGATTATAAGTCCAAGTGCAGGAGTGCTTGCAGTAAAACTTGAACCTGCTGCAATTTTCTGCCTTGTGCCCTACTAAACTTTCACAGCTTTTTGTACTCCATGGTGTGCAGTTCAGAGGAGGTTTCCCTGGTGTATAATATACCTGCCGAACTAGAAGAGGCCTACAAGGCATTTTGCTTCCTTCTTAATGATATGGGTTTCAAGTTGCCACACATTTTCTCTGTTTTGGAAAGGTTGCCCCACAATCATTTGGCCCCTAAATCTTTGTAGTGTTTATTAGCAACCCCCCTTCTGTGGACCACACATGTCTTAGTAAGGCCACCAGCATACTAGCCACTTCTTACTCATTCAGTATGAATAGCATAATGTTATTGATCTAGTGATTTTCAGTGAGATGCCCAACCAACCTGGGTCTTCTTGAGCTATTTTTTAGCAAAGGGTGTGAGTATTAAACAGTTAAAGAAAAAAAGAACAAAAACTAAAAAAACAACTGAAACTCTATGCTATTGCCCATTTTAAAGAAAAGTAAACAATTCTGGCCTCCCTTTCTACTAGAGATGGAAAATACATTTGTCAATTCAGTGGCTATATCCATAGACCCAAGTTTGGGTTAATCTGCTTTAGTAAAGATATCATATCTGGTAATAAATTGCAATGGTGGATAATGTGTGATCAAGTTTGCAGTACTCCACTGTCACCCTCCTAAATACATCTGGCTTCTGCAGGACCTAAAGAAGTGAATTAAATGGAGATATAATGGAGAATATCATACAAACATACTTTAGATCTTAAATGTAGCATTAATCTCTCATTGGGATGCAGACTGTTTATATTTACAAAAGAATGAGTGCAATTTCAGAGGCTTCCAATTGGATTTCCCCACTAGCTCTTGCCCCAAAGGCCAGTAAATCAATGCACAATGGGATTATGCAAACTACAAAGTATGTATATTCCAATTATTCATTCAGTGTCTGGGGAAATAACCCCTATGAAGCAGTGGACTAACTGTGTTTAGCAGTCCTTAAAATGTAGGGATAGTCTACTCTCACTAGTGTACAGTTCCCCAGACAGATGACCGTAGATAGTTTAGTGAAGTTATTTTAATGAATGATTGTGAGAATCCTTATATGTATACAGTTATTTCCATGTTGCAGTCTTTCTCCCTGGGGTCCCAGACTGTTCTTCCATCAATGAGTTTAACTAGTTTAAGTCCAAAAACTGGGAAAGAAAACTAGGTTTTTCTGTGTCACAAGACACATTGGTTATTTAATCTGCAAACCACATCTGGAAGAAATGTGTGTTTGTGGATCCTGATCATTCCACTACCTCCAGGAATTGAACAGTCATACACTGGCTTTAACCCAAATTACCTTGTGTGCACATTCTGCACCTGAAAGTCACTTACCATAACGTGGGTAGGTTCCTCAATTATCTTTCTTTTGATGAATATATGGATGCTACACAAAGATGTTTACATAAATGTTACCAAGAGAATCTGTACTATTAAATGGCGTACATATTTATCCTTATCTTGAAATGAGCAATGCATGAAATCTGCACATTGCCTAATATATTTTTCACTGTGATAGTTCAACAATAGTTACAATTTTGAAAACAACATACTGACATTTCATTATGACTTTAGAATTACAACTAAAAGAGATTAGTTGATGTGTTATCTGATTAAATCTTGCTATGCAGAATAAACAGTAATTTTATAATTCATATTTACTTTTACAAAATGTCATAGCTCAAAGTTCAACTTGAAATCATTATAAATTTGTTATCCAAAATATTTCTCAAAAAAATTTGAAAGGCAAAAAGTAGCTAACAAAAATCAAGTGACAATATGCTAAGTATAATGAGTTGTAAATAACAATCCTGGTTACTGAGCAGAAATAATTTATATGGTATTTCTGAATATTAACTATACTGATATTCACTGTAATCCTCTTATGAGCGATTTTCATACTTTTCTGATATAAATGACATAATTATGAACTTCCCTTTGGATTTTCAGTAATTTAATAGAAAGAGGTTTGAGGTATTTAATATTCTCAACCAGAAATATATTCTTTGACACTAAAAGGAGAATAGGAAGAGGCATGCAATTGTGAAAACACATTTATGAATCTCAGTATGCAATACTGCTGCTCTACTTTGATAAAGTAATATCTATATATTGTTTGATTTTAAAACTTAAACAATTGATTATTATGGTGGTATTCTGTAATTTTACAGCAACATAGCTGTAGACATGGTCAGAAAATGATAGGGATTCTATTTCAGTCAAAAGGTTATAACATTTGAAGCTGGGTCTCTTCTGAGTAATTTGTGAAATAGGTTTCTATAAATATATGATGACATTTCATGTGGTATATAGTTGTTCTAGGGAATTTAGAATTATACAATAAATATGTAATCAAATTTGCAATATGTAACATCATTGACATTTTACTCTACTTTTTAAAAGGAAATAATGCCTGTTTTCCAAGTCCAAATTATAACCCCTTTACGTGGATGTTTTTCCTGGTTTCATGTCCTAACTACACCTATGAGGTATGCTAGCTATGTATGCAAGTAACTGAACTTTATTTGATAATATGCTAAATACATGTGTTTATGTACTTACATGTATTATAGATTAATATATATATATATGATAATATGTGTATATGTTTTGTCTGTAGATATAGGTATAGCCAGAGATATAGATGATTATATAGATTTCAATTTAAGTTATAGGCATAGGAAACTGGAATAGTTCAACCACAATTTTCCCTGCAGAATATAGAATATATGTGCATATATTTATCTAGATTTAAAGAAAATTTTATAATCATCATATAAAATGTCTTGAGAAGCTTCAGGATTTTATTTTTTATCAAAAATTTTGGAATAATGTCTCATTTTCTTATGAATATGATACTGTTTTATGGGATTGTTTAATAACTTTATTATATTTAACAACAAAATTATTGTCTTTAGGAAAGTTATTTCTACTTAGAATTTTCCTACTGTTTAGTTTTTAAATTACCTATTTAATTTCACAAGTGAACAAATTTCTAGACTGACTATCAATATTTGTTAATTTATGTTTTAATCTAACAGATTGGATCATGGATTAGTTTCACAGTCATGACGCAAACATTGCCAGGTGAGGTCTGTGTTTACTGACATTTAATTGAAGTAGATACACCTTTAGGAGAAGTGATTTCTGAGAACAGATTGTATGGTACTAAAATTAGGCATGTTTGTAAAGGGATTTTTTTGCCTTTATTTTTAGTTTGGATTTTTTTAGCAGTATTAAAATATATTGGAACATTATTTACTATGCATCTCTATATAATTGTGGCTTAATCCAAGCTAGAAAATGTAGTCCAAATATATTTATTAAGCAACAAGCTTTTGTTAAAAAGCAGTGGTAATAATAATACACTTCATTTTAAACCCTCTCTTGTGCATGTGCACAGACTTGCATGTACTGTGTCTTCAAGTGTTCATATGCATCTGTGAAGGGAAAGCTGGGAGCATGAATGTGTAATCTTGAACGCTGGTCATTTTAACACACAAGGAAGTTAAATTGTAATGAACTGCATGTATTAAAGGGATATGTGTCATATCCTTTTCATCAATTCTTTGTTCCACTGTACAAAAATGTGGATTAAAATTAATGCTGCTTGTCGTATGTGTGTATGTGTGTGTAGAAGTATTTTATACACATATGAAAAACTATTATTGAAAAATTCAAGGAGATTTTTAAATTCCTTATTTGGGAGTATTTTGTGGCAGTGGGATGTAAAAAACATAGATTTATTTTGATCTCTATATACTTTTTATGTTTATTCAGCTATGCAATAAATATTGATTGAATGTATATGATGCTAGGCAATATACATGAGTAAAGAAAATTGATAGAGAACTATGCAACATGAGAAATATTTTAAGAAGTATATATGATTTTTTTTCTAATATAGCTTGCTATATCCATAATAAAAATAAGAAATAAAGAACAATTATTTCTTTTTTCTTCTAGTTGGGATTTTTACACTTCTGATGAGTATCCAGATGTCTTTGTGGGCACAAAAGAAACATAAGATTTATCTGAAGAAATGCAGTTCTTATATGCATAGGAAATCAGCAATGATTCCATTTATACTGTAAGAAAAAATAAGTGATCTTATCTCATATACAGAAAGCAGTATATAAACTCACTAAATCAAACTTGATAAAGGATAGTTGCCTATTATGCTCCAGAAATTCACAAACAACAGTATTTTTGCTTGAGTAAAAATACAAAATGGTAGAATCTAGCTGAATTTAGAGTAATAAACTTGAGGTAAATGAAAAGTAGAAATTATCGATATAACTAATGGTAAATAGCATCCAGTATGTTTGCAAGGGACTGATCCTTGAATGAGATGTTCTTACTGCATTAAATATTTCATAACTATTTGCTTAAGACCATTTAGAATATCTGAATTTTAAAAAGTAAATATTTAAAAAAGTTGTAACATTTAAATCACTTGAATTTTACATATTATTTTGATAGTAATTTAATTTTTTTCTTTATTGTTCAATATGTTATTGAGAAATATCAAATGTCTTATGTCAGTAGTTCAATTTCCTATATTAAAAGTTAAATATTTTTAATTAGCCATGCATCTTATTCATAACATATACATTGTATATCATTCTGAAATTATAACAATCAAAATATTTTCTAGACATTACTTATTAAATCATTTGAATATACTATATTGAAATATATATTTATACATCCATCATATTTATATATGCATATATATAGAAATATATATATATATTTCAAATGGATTATATGTGATGATGAAGAGAGAGTGCATTGGAACTTTGAGATTTAGAGTGGAAAGATTTTTTGCTTTATTTTCATATTTTTAAATTCTTATGTCTTCTCAAAGCCAGTGTGGTATGTGCATGAGTGTGTATGTAAATATGCATATATATTTTGACAAGGAGAGGGATGATATTACAAAAATTAAATACATATTAGGTAAATATTTTTTAAAATCTTAGTTTATTCATATTTAAATTGGGATTCTTTACATTGGTTAATTTCTAGAGCCTTTCCAATTATTAGATATAAATGTATCTAGATAAACAGATGGATAGATAGATGATAGATGGATATACATATATCAATGTATCCCCATTAAAGCGTTTAGATATATACATATATGACAAAATATCCTTGGTAAAGGTAGGTCTATATGCATTCTGTGGGTGTTTACTGTTAATATACGTGACCAACTTTCAAGATATAAAAGAAGCACCCATTTAAAAGCTTTATCATTCCCAAATGCACAGTATTAATATATCTCACGGGAAGACAACAACAAAGTTTAATTCACTAATATTCATTCAGCAAAATAGCATGGAATCATAATTATTTGTTGATGTAACAGGCTATCCCAAATATGTTTCATTATACTATATTCCCGAAAAATGTGACTACCCTCATCTTATAAATAAGATGCAACTACATTATCAAATTCTAAAGTTCTTTTGTGTGTATTTTCAACAATTGTGATTTTTATGTCAATGTAAAGGTTATGATGATATTAGCAACTCATAAATTCCCTGCTTTAAATAGAGAAAGACAAATAGGTCTTATTTCTAATTTAAATGAGGTATGTATATGCATGATATCATCATCAAAGTAATATGGGATTGGTCAAAAGAAGTCTTGTAGTATGGGAAAGGAACAAGTTAAATGCTATGATCGGCCATATCAACTGGGAAACAGTATTAAAATACTGCCATTTAACATTCAAATTTTCATACTCTATCTATTGATAGATTTGTTAAAGGAAATAAATGTCAACTGTAGACAAACAGTAGATGAGAGTAGAAAAGGGAATAAATAATGCAGCCCTTGTTTTTTAGATAGTTTACTTAGTTAAAAGACAACATAATTCTTAAAGATAAAATGAATTGTTAGTAGCATTAATTGAAATTAATTAAAACATGTATGAAGACAATATTAAAGTTAGTCTTTGTTCTTTTATTCCTTGGGCTACATGGGATATAAAGGAATGGATATTACCTCAACCTGTATATGCCTGTTAAAAATTATCTGCCCTGGTTGTATTAAATGTCCTGGTTCAGATGATCAGTCTTCTCTCAGGCCATTTCTCCAAGATAATATATTAGAATGCATTTGCTCTCCATTTCTATCACTTTTGCAGAACATACCATTAATAATCAAAAGAAACAAAACCCTCAAAAGTTAAAAAACTGAAAATATACCATTACTGGTTGGTATATAAAAATATACTATGAATATTTCTTCTGGAAAATGCATAGATATATGAATTAATGTCCAATGATATCTTCATAGATTGAGTTATCCATTCATTTACTTTGTGTTTAGTAACTCTCTTCTACATATTTATACATGAATCAGTTTAAGGGGTCTTCAGGAGGAAACTACTCAAAGTAGACTGGACCAAGTAGGGAGTGAGTTTTTCACATAAATCTGCCCCTCATCCAAGTAGAACTTACTATATCTTTACTAATAAAGGTCCCATTCCAAACAAATGCTAGAAATAATCTTAAGCAGGAGTGGAAAAATAAAATCACAGGACACAGATATTAGCTTCTGCCTCCAAATCATTTAATGTAACAATTAGGATGCCTGGCAAGCTACAGTTTTGCATCTTCAATTTAAATTAAATATTAATTTAAATATTAGGATGGTAGCTAATAATGTATTTAAATTTTTTTAAAATAAGTATTCAAGATTTAATAAATTAACATTAGAATTTTCTGACAGATACTAGATTTGTGATTACATATAGTATTACAAAGAAGCATCATAGTTAAATTAATTTAGACATTGATAGTTAATTTTTAAATAATTGTCTAGAATGATTTTTTTCTATCCAAAAATGAAAACTGAAAACAGTGCTTTTAAAATACCACATCTTCATCTTTTATACATTTCTTATAAAAAGTGCTAGAGAGGGAGAGAAAAAAAAGAAAAACAAAAGTACAAAAGTTGAATCAGCTGCTATACCACCCCGTATTATCACAGCGTCTTGCCTCACTTCCCCACCCTTTCATCATTTCTCCCTAAAGCTACTGCTTTAAAGATGTTTTTGGGTTTTTTTGCATATGTGTTTTTTTTTAAATTTCTGGCTAAGTTTAAATAAAAATAGACTCAACACATTTTGTCTTTTACAAGAGTTTTGTGGAAAATTATTCTCTAACTCATACGCAGACACAGACACAGAAATTTAAAGCAGTATCATTTCTTAAAAGAGACAATACAAATATGGTAGCATTAAATTTTTTTTAAATAAATGAAATATATTCTTATTTTTTAAATGTGCATGTTCAATTTTATTTCTCTATGAAAAGATATTATGCCTAATACTGAGGGGTAATCAAATCATAAAATTCAACATTATAGCTGAATATCTTGTATATTGACCTTTAATCACCTTCCAGTAATTCAACATATTTTCAAGATATTTTAAGCTCAATTTTGAGTAACCATCATTCAATGCATGTTAAATTTTAGCAGTTGCTGTACTTCATTTATAACATTTGTGCTCATAAAATAAAATGACCTGTGAATCAATAATGAGGGTTACTTATATTTTTATTTTAATAAAAAAGAAAACTGTTGTAGTTGCTCCTGAATATTAGAGGTGATTACAGCAAATGTTACTTTATAAGTACAATTAAAGGCATTTATGCAGCTTTTGCATAATGATAATAATTAAAAACCATTTTAAAGGCTGCTTAAAAGTTAATTTTCACCCAGGTGCATATTGAAGCCTATAATTAGCTTTCCCTCAGAGGAGGTTTGATCATGGAAATGTACAAAAGCATTTTTGGAGGCAGAAGTTCCCTGCTAAAATGGGATTTTGGCTTTTAGCTGTAGTTCTATAATGGTGCTTAAAACATGTAAGAAAAATATGCTCAGAAATATTTTTTAAAATGAATATAATCATAACAGATTTGTTTTCTTGAGAATATAGAAGACGTATTTTCATATTATTTGACTGAGTAATATGAGGGGCAGGATGAGTCAGATGGTGAGATTGTGAATTTTCTAATTGGATGACCTTTCAACTGACACTTTTAGGGTATTTAGCCAGGTGAATGATTACTGGAAGAATGTTTTAGACAAATAAAACTGATTTATATAAGGCACTGGGACAGGAAAACCTTGGTGTGCTTGAGGACCAGCAAGTCACCCAGTGTAGTTGGAACATACTGAGTAAGAGAAAGAGTCATTTATCTTGGATTTGGAGAGGTATTGAAAGGACATGTCATGCATGGCTCTTAGACCAGTCTAGATCTATGTTACTTTGATATATTATTTTAGAATATTCAATTTTGTCATAGAATACAAGAAAACGAGGAGTTGGAGGAGGCACATATGAAATTGCATCAAGATAATTTCCAAGAGTATAGTAGAGAATTTATATTTTATTCTAACTGAAAGAAAAATTTTATTCAGGGCAAATAAATATTATAATGTAATCTGATATGCTTTTTAAAATGTATTATTCCATCTCATCTGGACAAATTGTTATGGGTAAAGAGATGACATAGGAATGCATTTAGAAGAATCCAGTAATATCCAAGGGGAGAAACATTTAGTTGTCATGAATGCTTTGGGTTTTGCTTTTGTTATAAAGAGAAGAAAATTTATGGGATCCCCACCACCATCTATGGGACATTCTAGTTTACAGGGAAGGATTGGAGTGAGGGCAAGATGGGCCTAGATTTCAAGTATTATTTAAGAAGCCCCTTTATTGCCCTGAGTAAGCAGACCAAAAACCACTTCAGTGTCAATGACCCCTCTTTCAAAGGGTTAGTAAGAGCTTCCCATGCCCATTCACATACATACATTTGCCAAAAATGCCCCAGAACAACATTCCTAGTTAGAATATGTAGGATTTTATCAAAGCCTATGAGCCTGCACAAATGCATCTTTCTGAAAAGGCTGAAAGGACACAAAACCTGATTTTTCCAGATACACAAACTGGTCTTGAGGAAGATACCACTCCATACAATTCTGATGAGTCCCCCACACAAACAATTTTATATGTACTGACCAGTCTGAACAGTGTAATCATCAAGATAAATTGTCCTGATCTTATTAGCCATATGAGACTGCTACATAAAAAGCTGGACACACTGAGTACAGAAAGTGCTACAGCAGGTTCAGAGGTAGAATAAATTCACCAACCTTCATTAAATTTTAAATTCTGATTTTAGATCCAAAGAAATCTCCAATAATTTTCCCACCAAAATCAATCAGACTTATTACACCCTAAAATTATGATACACAGTTGACCTTTGAAAAAGGTAGAGGTTACTCTGCATATAACTTATGGTCAGCTCTCCTTATCTGCAGTTCTTTCATATCCCTGGATTCAACCAAGTACAGACTGTGTAGTACTCTAGTATTTACTATTGAAAATATCCCTGTATAAGTGGACCCCATGCAGCCCAAACCCATGTTGTTTAAGGGTCAACTGTATATTCAAATTTAGCACTGTGCATCAAACACTATTTTAGTATCAAGAATTTTATCTAGAAACAATTGAGACAGGCATGATAATGTATATACATATGCATGATAATGTTCAGGCAG